CAGACAGGGGTCAGGAAGATATCAGAGAGTACAGACAGGGGTCAGGTAGATATCAGAGAGTACAGACAGGGGTCAGGTAGATATCAGAGAGTACAGACAGGGGTCAGGTAGATATTAGAGAGTACAGACAGGGGTCAGGTAGATATTAGAGAGTATAGACAGGGGTCAGGTAGATATTAGAGAGTACAGACAGGGGTCAGGTAGATATTAGAGAGTACAGACAGGGGTCAGGTAGATATTAGAGAGTATAGACAGGGGATGGGTAGATATCAGAGAGTACAGACAGGGGATGGGTAGATATTAGAGAGTACAGACAGGGGTCAGGTAGATATTAGAGAGTATAGACAGGGGATGGGTAGATATCAGAGAGTACAGACAGGGGATGGGTAGATATCAGAGAGTATAGACGGGGATGGGAAGATATCAGAGAGTATAGACGGGGATGGGTAGATATCAGAGAGTATAGACAGGGGATGGGTAGATATCAGAAAGTACAGACAGGGGATGGGTAGATATCAGAGAGTACAGACAGGGGATGGGTAGATATCAGAGAGTACAGACAGGGGATGGGTAGATATCAGAGAGTATAGACGGGGATGGGTAGATATCAGAGAGTACAAAGAGGGGTCATGTAGATATCAGAGAGTACAGAGAGGGGATGGGTAGATATCAGAGAGTACAGAAAGGGGATGGGTAGATATCAGAGAGTATAGACAGGGGATGGGTAGATATCAGAGAGTACAGAGAGGGGATAGGTAGATATCAGAGAGTATAGACAGGGGATGGGTAGATATCAGAGAGTACAGACAGGGGATGGGTAGATATCAGAGAGTACAGAAAGGGGATGGGTAGATATCAGAGAGTGCAGACAGGGGATGGGTAGCTATCAGAGAGTACAGACAGGGGATGGGTAGATATCAGAGAGTACAGACAAGGGTCAGGTAGATATTAGAGAGTATAGACAGGGGATGGGTAGATATCAGAGAGTACAGAAAGGGGATGGGTAGATATCAGAGAGTACAGAAAGGGGATGGGTAGATATCAGAGAGTACAGACAGGGGATGGGTAGATATCAGAGAGTACAGACAGGGGATGGGTAGATATCAGAGAGTATAGACGGGGATGGGAAGATATCAGAGAGTATAGACGGGGATGGGTAGATATCAGAGAGTATAGACACGGGATGGGTAGATATCAGAAAGTACAGACAGGGGATGGGTAGATATCAGAGAGTACAGACAGGGGATGGGTAGATATCAGAGAGTACAGACAGGGGATGGGTAGATATCAGAGAGTACAGAAAGGGGATGGGTAGATATCAGAGAGTATAGACAGGGGATAGGTAGATATCAGAGAGTACAAAGAGGGGTCAGGTAGATATCAGAGAGTACAGAGAGGGGATGGGTAGATATCAGAGATTACAGAAAGGGGATGGGTAGATATCAGAGAGTACAGACAGGGGATGGGTAGATATCAGAGAGTATAGACAGGGGATGGGTAGATATCAGAGAGTACAGAAAGGGGATGGGTAGATATCAGAGAGTATAGACAGATAGACAGGGGATGGGTAGATATCAGAGAGTACAGACAGGGGATGGGTAGATATCAGAGAGTATAGACAGGGGATGGGTAGATATCAGAGAGTACAGAAAGGGGATGGGTAGATATCAGAGAGTACAGACAGGGGATGGGTAGATATCAGAGAGTATCAGAGAGACAGGGGATGGGTAGATATCAGAGAGTACAGACAGGGGATGGGTAGATATCAGAGAGTATAGACAGGGGATGGGTAGATATCAGAGAGTACAGACAGGGGATGGGTAGATATCAGAGAGTATAGACAGGGGATGGGTAGATATCAGAGAGTACAGACAGGGGATGGGTAGATATCAGAGAGTACAGACAGGGGATGGGTAGATATCAGAGAGTATAGACAGGGGATGGGTAGATATCAGAGAGTATAGACAGGGGATGGGTAGATATCAGAGAGTACAGACAGGGGATGGGTAGATATCAGAGAGTACAGACAGGGGATGGGTAGATATCAGAGAGTACAGACAGGGGATGGGTAGATATCAGAGAGTCATGGGTAGAGATATCAGAGAGTATAGACAGGGGATGGGTAGATATCAGAGAGTACAGACAGGGGATGGGTAGATATCAGAGAGTACAGAAAGGGGATGGGTAGATATCAGAGAGTATAGAGAGTATAGACAGGGGATGGGTAGATATCAGAGAGTACAGACAGGGGAGAGGGGATGGTAGATATCAGAGAGTACAGACAGGGGATGGGTAGATATCAGAGAGTACAGACAGGGGATGGGTAGATATCAGAGAGTACAGAGAGGGGATGGGTAGATATCAGAGAGTACAGAGAGGGGATGGGTAGATATCAGAGAGTACAGAAAGGGGATGGGTAGATATCAGAGAGTACAGACAGGGGATGGGTAGATATCAGAGAGTACAGAGAGGGGATGGGTAGATATCAGAGAGTACAGAGAGGGGATGGGTAGATATCAGAGAGTACAGAAAGGGGATGGGTAGATATCAGAGAGTACAGAAAGGGGATGGGTAGATATCAGAGAGTATAGACTGGGGATGGGTAGATATCAGAAAGTACAGACAGGGGATGGGTAGATATCAGAGAGTATAGACAGGGGATGGGTAGATATCAGAGAGTACAGAGAGGGGATGGGTAGATATCAGAGAGTACAGAGAGGGGATGGGTAGATATCAGAGAGTACAGAAAGGGGATGGGTAGATATCAGAGAGTACAGACAGGGGATGGGTAGATATCAGAGAGTATAGACAGGGGTCAGGTAGATATCAGAGAGTACAGACAGGGGTCAGGTAGATATCAGAGAGTACAGACAGGGGATGGGTAGATATCAGAGAGTATAGACAGGGGATGGGTAGATATCAGAGAGTACAGACAGGGGTCAGGTAGATATTAGAGAGTACAGACAGGGGATGGGTAGATATCAGAGAGTATAGACAAGGGATGGGTAGATATCAGAGAGTATAGACAAGGGATGGGTAGATATCAGAGAGTATAGACAAGGGATGGGTAGATATCAGAGAGTATAGACAGGGGATGGGTAGATATCAGAGAGTATAGACAGGGGATGGGTAGATATCAGAGAGTATAGACAGGGGATGGGTAGATATCAGAGAGTATAGACAGGGGATGGGTAGATATCAGAGAGTACAGACAGGGGATGGGTAGATATCAGAGAGTATAGACAGGGGATGGGTAGATATCAGAAAGTATAGACAGGGGATGGGTAGATATCAGAGAGTACAGACAGGGGATGGGTAGATATCAGAGAGTACAGACAGGGGATGGGTAGATATCAGAGAGTATAGACAGGGGATGGGTAGATATCAGAGACAGACAGGGGATGGAGATATCAGAGAGTACAGACAGGGGATGGGTAGATATCAGAGAGTACAGACAGGGGATGGGTAGATATCAGAGAGTACAGACAGGGGATGGGTAGATATCAGAGAGTACAGAGAGGGGATGGGTAGATATCAGAGAGTACAGAAAGGGGATGGGTAGATATCAGAGAGTACAGACAGGGGATGGGTAGATATCAGAGAGTACATACAGGGGATGAGTAGATATCAGAGAGTACAGAGAGGGGATGGGTAGATATCAGAGAGTACAGACAGGGAATGGGAAGATATGAACAAGAGATCCCTGAGTGATCTTGGCGCCCACCATTTGAGGATCTGTTTTCAGTTTTGAAGTTTTGTTTATTTTTTGTTTGTTTGTTACAGGTGTTGTAAATGTTCATGAACTGGTCTTCATTGAATGTACTCAATGATGGTACAAGATATTTTTATTAAGTACCTATTAGCAAATATCATTTGAAAAAGATCCCAAAGTATTATTAGATAGCAGTCAGTTACAGGTGGATAATGGACAATATGCTTGTGCTGTATTACTGTCGACATCCAAGATGGCTGCCTGTGGGCCACCTTGATTTCAAATCAGTCCAAAAAAGGTACAATGCACAACTAGGGACCAAGGGAAACCAATATCTATGAAATATCAGAAGGATCCATCCTGGACTTCCTCAGATATAGCAGTAACAAGATTTTACTCTCAAAATCCAAGATGGCTGCCTGTCAAAAAGGTATAAAGCAAAACTTGGAATCAAAGGGAACCTGCATATGAAATTTGAGAAAGATCCATCCAGTACTTTCCAAGAAATAGCAGTAACAAACTTTTACATTCAAAATCCAAGATGGCCACCTGTCTGCCATCTTGAATTCGAATCAGTCCAAAAAAGGTACAATGCACAACAAGGGACCAAGGGGAAACTGCATGTGAAATTTGAGAAAGATCCATCCAGTACTTTCCAAGAAATAGCAGTTACAAACTTTTACTTCCAAAATCCAAGATGGCTGCCTGTTGGCCATCTTGAATTCGAATCAGTCCAAAAAAGGTACAATGCACAACTTGGGACCAAGGGGAAATTGCATATGAAATTTGAGAAAGATCCATCCAGTACTTTTCCAGAAATAGCGGTAACAAACTTTTACTTCCAAAATCCAAGATGGCCACCTGTCCGCCATCTTGAATTCGAATCAGTTCAAAAAAGGTACAATGCACAACTAGGGACCAAGGGGAACCTGCATATGAAATTTGAGAAAGATCCATCCAGTACTTTTCCAGAAATAGCGGTAACAAGAATTGTTTACGGACGGACGGACGGACGGATGACGGACCACGGACGCAGGGCGATTTGAATAACCCACCATCAAGATGGTGGGCTAAAAATGTTACATTTTAAGCAATGTCAACACAAAGAAGATAACCAAAGGCAACAAGCAAGAGGGTTAGTGATGAAGCAGTGTAAATGAGTGAGAACCCAAAAAGGCCCGTTGATGACGACGACGACGATGATGATGATGGAAAAGGTTGTCTTAGGCTAGTATACCAGATGTTCGTGGTAGAGAAGAGAGTGAAGTAGCTATTGGTGAGTACTTACCACAGGGACGACATCCGGTTTTTTGGCGACCGGTGGCTTTTCCTGAGGCACTTGTTTCATCACAGTTTCTGAGGTCTATAAATTAATTTTGTAGCTTATCAATATTTTCTGGAGACAAAATCTTACTAACAATGTCTCAAATCATTGTGTTTACATTTCACTGTCACAAATCAAAACAAGGACAAGAGACAGATTCCTTAAACATAATGCACAGCACTTTATTGTAGGTAAAACATCGGAAACAATGATATACCAAGGAAGAATCTCCTGATCAAGTTAAGACTGACATTTATCATCTTCTAACAAATTATTGTTAAATATGAATAATTACTTTGTTGCCCATTGCGGAATATGAATACAAGTTGAACACAATGCCTATCTGCTAATGATTTCACAAAAATCTTTACTGGATCATTTTTAAGAATCAAGTATTTTGTAAATCTGTTCTTCAACTTGCTATATTAATCATCATTACTAACAAGTTACAATTTTCTTTTTCATTCAAAGTTAAATCTTTAACAACTTCGTTAACAACTTTTAAGTGTAGAAGTACAGAATTCTGTATTCTGGTTTACAACTTACTAGAGTAGAGGTGCTGATTTCTATATTCTGGTTTACAACTTACTAGAGTAGAGGTGCTGATTTCTATATTCTGGTTTACAACTTACTAGAGTAGAGGTGCTGATTTCTATATTCTGGTTTACAACTTACTAGAGTAGAGGTGCTGATTTCTGTATTCTGGTTTACAACTTACTAGAGTAGAGGTGCTGATTTCTGTATTCTGGTTTACAACTTACTAGAGTAGAGGTGCTGATTTCTGTATTCTGGTTTACAACTTACTAGAGTAGAGGTGCTGATTTCTGTATTCTGGTTTACAACTTACTAGAGTAGAGGTGCTGATTTCTGTATTCTGGTTTACAACTTACTAGAGTAGAGGTGCTGATTTCTATATTTTGGTTTACAACTTACTAGAGTAGAGGTGCTGATTTCTATATTCTGGTTTACGACTTACTAGAGTAGAGGTGCTGATTTCTGTATTCTGGTTTACAACTTACTAGAGTAGAGGTGCTGATTTCTGTATTCTGGTTTACAACTTACTAGAGTAGAGGTGCTGATTTCTGTATTCTGGTTTACAACTTACTAGAGTAGAGGTGCTGATTTCTATATTCTGGTTTACAACTTACTAGAGTAGAGGTGCTGATTTCTATATTCTGGTTTACAACTTACTAGAGTAGAGGTGCTGATTTCTATATTCTGGTTTACAACTTACTAGAGTAGAGGTGCTGATTTCTGTATTCTGGTTTACAACTTACTAGAGTAGAGGTGCTGATTTCTATATTCTGGTTTACAACTTACTAGAGTAGAGGTGCTGATTTCTGTATTCTGGTTTACAACTTACTAGAGTAGAGGTGCTGATTTCTGTATTCTGGTTTACAACTTACTAGAGTAGAGGTGCTGATTTCTGTATTCTGGTTTACAACTTACTAGAGTAGAGGTGCTGATTTCTGTATTCTGGTTGTTGTCAGGTAATTGATTTTCTTCCTTCAACGCTTCTTCTCTTTCCTTTAACAGCTTGTTCTGGGAAAGAACATCAACTAAACATAACTATGGTATAAAAACAAGAGCTATTCTAGGAATCTTATAAGAGAGTCCCCACCCCACATTATAATTACAACAGTTAGTAATACATGTATATCTTTTGGAGTTTGTGAAATAAATTCTCATTTACCAGATATGAAGATTTGCTTACCTGTATTTTTTAACAATATTTTTCCTGAACAAATATCCGTTTTAGTATTATATATGTAGGATTAATTTACTGAAATGTTTTGTGAAGTACAAGTCCCCAATGTTTGTACCTTTATCCAGACTGAAAATTAGATTGTTTCAGCATCACATACTGTTAATGTAAATATCTCTACTCTGGCATCAGTGAAAACAACAAACATTAAGTTCATGCAATTAGAAGTTCTAGCAAAGCAGTCTGAAATTTTATGTTAATGTGGTTTCAATTTTAATTTGACCTTGAATTTTAAATCATGCAGTTCAAGGTAATCTACTGCAAATGATACAATCAGTTTAAACAATCTCTATAGCAAAAGTAACCTACACAACTGATGTTGGGTGCAGGGAGATAAAGCAATGAGAAATTAGTCATAAATACAAGACAAGAATGATTATAGTTAACATCCCCCTAACCAAGCTCTGCCTGGGGCGAAATCTGTTGACATGTATAAGCCATCCCTTGAGCAAAATCCGTCAACATGTATAAGCCCTCCCTGGGGCAAAATTTGTTGACATGAATAAGCTCTCCCTGGGGCAAAATTTGTTGACATGAATAAGCTCTCCCTGGGGCGAAATTCATTGACATGTATAAGCCCTCCATGGGGCGAAATCCGTCAACATGTGTAAGCCCTTCCGAGGCGAAATTTGTCGACATGTATAAGCCCTCCCTGGGGAAAAATCCATCGACATGAATAAGCCCTCCCTGAGACGAAATCTGTTGACTTGTATCAGCCTGCCCTGGGGTGAAATCTGTTAACATGAATAAGCCCTTTCGAGGGTGAATTCTGTCGACAAGTATAAGCCCTCCCTGGAGAGAAATCTGTTGACATGTATCAGCCCTCCCTTGAGCAAAATCCGTTGACAAGTATAAGCCCTCCCTGGAGAGAAATCTGTCGACATGTATCAGCCTTCCCTTGAGCGAAATCCGTTGACATGTATAAGCCCTTTGTCGGGCCAAAACTGTCAACATGTATAAGCCCTCCCTGGAGTGTAATCTGTCAACATGTATAAGCCCTCTCTGGGGTGAAATCCATTGACATGTATCAGCCGCCCCTGAGGCGAAATCCGGTAACATGTATAAGCCCGCCCTAGGGGTGAAATCCGTTGACATATATAAGCCTTCCCTGAGGTGAAATCCGTGGACATGTATAAGCCCTCCCTTGGGTGAAATCCGTTGACATGTATAAGCCCTTTCCGACGATGAAATCCGTCGACATGTATAAGTCATACTTCCTGCATACTCGAGGGTAACATCTCCTATACAACTTATCCAATACAAAGAAGATGCATGATGGCTTCTCTCCATTTCTATTCAGACAAGTAGATGCATTGAACCTTCGTGAACTTTATTGCTGAAGAGTAATGGGTTTAAACACATATTTTCTGATATTGTCCCAAACCATAGAGACCCATTAGCTTTTTTTCTGACAGAATAAAATCCTTGTTAGAGGAAGTTTCTAAAATCAGAGCAGTATCAGCTCTATTTCAAACTCCTGTTATTATACATATATGTCATATGAATAACCTCCCCCAAGAAGATAAAGCGCCCTGTAGTTTTGTCCCATATTAGCTGCCCCCATCACACGCCCACATGATCAATATATTTTTAAATGGAAACATCTCTACAAAATTTAGTTGAAATCCCTCTAGCCATTCTAGATAAGAAGTCTTTGAAAGGAAAGGTTGCTAATAGATACATGGCATTGAAGAAAAATATGCCCCAGTAAAGCCAATTTATTTACGGTCACCAGTAAGCTTAGATCTTGCATTTGAATAAGGCTATCTCAGGGAATCATCCAGGGCCTAAATCCACAGTTTCAGATGAACTTAAGGAAGGCAGTCTCCCTCCTACCTACCCTCAATTCCTCTTCCTCCTTTTCCCAGCGCTGAGCCTCTTCAATTGCATCTTGTTCCTAGACAACACAAAACAACACAAGGGCGTCATGCAGTGAGGTGTACAAAGCAGGGATCATTATTGTGAGGATAGGAAAGATTCCAATCGGAAGAGGTTATTTTGTGGTGCCAATAGTGGAGGTGGTGGTGGTGGTGGTAGTCATGGTGGCAGTAGCATGTGTATGCGTGTGGTGTGTGGCAATGATGATGATGAGTGTGGAGAAGGCCGCAATGGTGGTGGTGAGAGGTGAACAGTGGAAGGAGTTATGTGTGGTGGCTATGGTGGGTGAGAGATAGGGGGATGGGGGATGTGAGAGGTTAACAGTGGAAGGAGTTATGTGTGGTGGCTATGGTGGGTGAGAGATAGGGGGATGGGGGGATGTGAGAGGTTAACAGTGGAAGGAGTTATGTGTGGTGGCTATGGTGGGTGAGAGATAGGGGATGGGGGGATGTAAGAGGTTAACAGTGGAAGGAGTTATGTGTGGTGGCTATGGTGGGTGAGAGATAGGGGGATGGGGGTATGTGAGAGGTTAACAGTGGAAGGAGTTATGTGTGGTGGCTATGGTTGGTGAGAGATAGGGGATGGGGGGATGTGAGAGGTTAACAGTGGAAGGAGTTATGTGTGGTGGCTATGGTGGGTGAGAGATAGGGAGATGGGGGGGATGTGAGAGGTTAACAGTGGAAAGAGTTATGTTTAGTGGCTATGGTGGGTGAGAGATAGGGGGATGGGGGGATGTGAGAGGTTAACAGTGGAAGGAGTTATGTGTGGTGGCTATGGTTGGTGAGAGATAGGGGATGGGGGGATGTGAGAGGTTAACAGTGGAAGGAGTTATGTGTGGTGGCTATGGTGGGTGAGAGATAGGGGATGGGGGGATGTGAGAGGTTAACAGTGGAAGGAGTTATGTGTGGTGGCTATGGTGGGTGAGAGATAGGGAGATGGGGGGATGTGAGAGGTTAACAGTGGAAGGAGTTATGTGTGGTGGCTGTGGTAGGTGAGAGATAGGGGGATGGGGGGGATGTGAGAGGTTAACAGTGGAAAGAGCCATTACTGTGTGAGGTGGCGGAGCAGAAATTGGATAGAATCATTACAATGCATGAGGTGAGGTGGTTGTGGGGGATAATAGTGGGGCAGGTTAATTATTGCATGAGAGTAGTGAGAGGCAAGTTACTGACAGAAGGGTCATTATAGTGAAGGAAGGAATGTTTTCAGGTGGGGAATGGTCATCATATTGTGGGAGACTGAAGTGGAGGGAGGGGCCATTATTGTTGGCAGAAAGGAAAGTCAATAGCAACAGAAAATAAAGTGTTATCACCATAGGGTTGTTGTATGGTAGCAAGCAAAGGAAAATCATTTGGTCATCAAAAAAGTGTGAATGTGAACAGAATGCAGGAAGGAGATGACAGTAATCGCTGGTGAAATTCAAGATATTTTGTGTATATCATACCTTGATCCAGTAATTCTGTGGTAAGAATTATGATCTGGTGTTAATAGCATTCAATGTGTTATAGACTAGCTCATTCAGAAAGCATGTGGCAAACATTGAACTAGTAAACAGGACACTAACCTATGTAACATGCATACAACTAATCAAATTTCTCAAGTCGTAATTGCTTGACAAAACCAAAAGGATAATCAACATGTCAAAGACACAAAACCATCAACATTTGATCTCAAATAAAAAATTATTGATAATTTTATACACAGCATTATTATTTCTGTGTGTATTTTGAGAAGTTTGGTTATATATGGTGAAAACATGCGACCTCTGTCAATACTGAGATGTATAACCAATCAGTGACTACATAATGCATGCTGATAACCCTATATCATGACACCTTCTTAAAGACTCATATCAAATATTGGAAGAATTTTCACTTAAATACAAATATATTTCATACTATAACAAAGTTCCACAATTTAGAATCTCTATAATGAAGTCTTATAGACATATTTATGTTACTACAAAATGTCTGTAAGATATCAATGCCCTGCCACCCAGGCCTTGACCTTGGATCTCTCAAAAACAATGTCAAATCTATACTCATAATTGACTTTTATATAAATTTGACCAAATTCCATGAAAGGATGAAGTAGTTAAATGTTTAAATGGAGTCAGCTGATAATTTTCTATATATGGCAAGTGTGACCTTGGCCTTGAACTTGGGCCCCTTAAACACAATGTCAAAAGTATGCCCATAATTGACCTTTGAGTAATAAAATTTGACCAAAATCTGTCAAAAAAAGGAGTTGGTAGGCACTTACATTGAATCAGGACGAGACAGATGTGGGCAATGCTACATCCCCCCCACCCCCCGCACCGTTTTTTATGATTGGGACATAAAGAGATACAATAAGTTAAAACACTGATATGACCCATTCCACTTGTTTCTTGGGTTTCCTTTTCTCTACTTTAGTAACTGATGAAACGTGACCATTAATACCCTTATAATTGACCAGAATATAAACATGGGATTTGTTTCAATTTCTGGTTATAAAGTTTAAAATGAGATCAAAATAACAAAAGTTTCTATCTAATGAAAACTACATGCAGATAGTGGATATTATCACATAAAACACTCACCTTTTTAATGATGGCTGTTTCTTCATCCTCAACATCTATACTAGATACAGAGTCACGGTTGGACGAAGGGTTAAAGGTCATGGGAGCGTTTGGCGAGTCAGGCGATTGGACATCTGACAATGAGGAATCATCCCCATCACAAACCATGATCACCATCTTGTCCCCGACACTCCGCAGTGCTCGTACTGCCTCCTGATGAGTTGAGCCCAGGAGACTCTGCCCGTTTACCTGCCAATAGATCAAATGGGTGTTACATTAACCACTTATTATGTAGGTATAACAGTAATGGACTTCATATTACATATAGAATACGGATTTGATTTATATATCTAAATCTCCCCATAGTAATTACATGATATCTCAGACATATCCTACCTCAAGGTATCTCACACATATATATCCTACCTCAAGATATCTCAGACATATCCTACCTCAAGGTATCTCACACATATCCTACCTCAAGGTATCTCACACATATCCTACCTCAATATATCTCACACATATCCTATCTCAAGATATCTCAGATATATCCTACCTCAAGATATCTCACACATATCCTACCTCAAGATATCTCTGATATATCCTACCTCAAGGTATCTCACACATATCCTACCTCAAGGTATCTCACACATATCCTACCTCAAGATATCTCACACATATCCTACCTCAAGATATCTCATATATATCCTACCTCAAGGTATCTCACACATATCCTACCTCAAGATATCTCACACATGTCCTACCTCAATATATCTGATATATCCTACCTCAAGGTATCTCACACATATCCTACCTCAAGATATCTCACACGTCCTACCTCAAGATATCTCAGATATATCCTACCTCAAGATATCTCACACATATCCTACCTCAAGATATCTCACACATATCCTACCTCAAGATATCTCACACATATCCTACCTCAAGATATCTCATATATATCCTAGCTCATGGTATCTCACACATATCCTACCTCAAGATATCTCACACATATCCTACCTCAAGATATCTTAGATATATCCTACCTCAAGGTATCTCACACATATCCTACCTCAAGATATCTCAGATATATCCTACCTCAAGGTATCTCACACATATCCTACCTCAAGATATCTCACACATATCCTACCTCAAGATATCTCACACATATCCTACCTCAAGATATCTCACACATATCCTACCTCAAGATATCTCACACATATCCTACCTCAAGGTATCTCGCACATATCCTACCTCAAGGTATCTCGCACATATCCTACCTCAAGGTATCTCACACATATCCTACCTCAAGATATCTCACACATGTCCTACCTCAATATATCTGATATATCCTACCTCAAGATATCTCACACATATCCTACCTCAAGATATCTCACACGTCCTACCTCAAGATATCTCAGATATATCCTACCTCAAGATATCTCACACATATCCTACCTCAAGATATCTCACACATATCCTACCTCAAGATATCTCACACATATCCTACCTCAAGATATCTCATATATATCCTACCTCATGGTATCTCACACATATCCTACCTCAAGATATCTCACACATATCCTACCTCAAGATATCTTAGATATATCCTACCTCAAGGTATCTCACACATATCCTACCTCAAGGTATCTCACACATACCCTACCTCAAGATATCTCACACATATCCTACCTCAAGATATCTCAGATATATCCTACCTCAAGGTATCTCACACATATCCTACCTCAAGATATCTCACACATATCCTACCTCAAGATATCTCACACATATCCTACCTCAAGATATCTCACACATATCCTACCTCAAGGTATCTCACACATATCCTACCTCAAGGTATCTCGCACATATCCTACCTCAAGGTATCTCAGACATATCCTACCTCAAGAATCCTTTGTCCCATCTTCAGTCTGCCATCCCGACTTACAGCTCCATGATCATGAATCTTCAAAAGGAAAGTTCAAAGAGTATGATATGACATTTATAACACCCTGACAAGACAGTAACTCAGACCAAAATGTGGGCTTGGTATAGAAAAAGCATTTACAGTTAATTCTATGAAACAGTGAACATACATGAGTGAACTTATCCAAACCTGATCAATTTGTTAGATAAATACTGTAATTAATAAAGTAATTGACACAATCATACATTGACTGATCTTCCCAAACTATTGTAATAGGAAGTTTTCAAAGAAATGAAATCTTATCCCATGTCTAACTAAACTCAATGAAGGTAAAAAATGTGTCACAGTGACCTACATGTAAATGTTCAACCATCACTATTAAGGAACTACTTTTGAGCATAACAACTGGTTAGGTAAAATTATCGTAATTACATTATATTCTCCATATTTAGGCAATGCCTGATGCCCTTAGGATATGCCTGATGCGCGATGCCCTTATGCAATGCCTGCTCCCCTTAGGTGAAGTCCAATGCCCACTACCCTAAGGTAATGTCTCAGCCCCGATGCCCTTAGATAAAGTCTGATGTCCTTAGTCAATGCCTGAGGCCTGATGAACTTAGGTAATGCATGATGCCCTATCCCTCTGCCCTTTTTGAGCAATAAAATACGCTTCATATCTACATATATAAATCAATCATTAATTGACTTTCCAACACAAACAGTATAAAGGTCCCTCCATCAGCCTTTAACCACTTACCCTAGATATAAAGGTCCCTCCATCAGCCTTTAACCACTTACCCTAGATATAAATGTCCCTCCATCAGCCTTTAACCACTTACCCTAGATATAAAGGTCCCTCCATCAGCCTTTAACCACTTACCCTAGATATAAAGGTCCCTCCATCAGCCTTTAACCACTTACCCTAGATATAAAGGTCCCTCCATCAGCCTTTAACCACTTACCCTAGATATAAAGGTCCCTCCATCAGCCTTTAACCACTTACCCTAGATATAAAGGTCCCTCCATCAGCCTTTAACCACTTACCCTCGATATAAAGGTCGCTTCATCAGCCTTTAACCACTTACCCTAGATATAAAGGTCCCTCCATCAGCCTTTAACCACTTACCCTAGATATAAAGGTCCCTCCATCAGCCTTTAACCACTTACCCTAGATATAAAGGTCCCTCCATCAGCCTTTAACCACTTACCCTAGATATAAAGGTCCCTTCATCAGCCTTTAACCACTTACCCTAGATATAAAGGTCCCTCCATCAGCCTTTAACCACTTACCCTAGATATAAAGGTCCCTTCATCAGCCTTTAACCACTTACCCTAGATATAAAGGTCCCTTCATCCGCCTTTCCTCCTGAACCCTGGGCAAAGTTTTTTACACCACCTTTAATACTCATTCCTAAGTTTTCACCTGGCTTCTTAAAAATGATTAATTCCTGAAATAAAAGATGGCAATTTAATAAAATTGAACAAACCTTTTATTTTCTACATTTTACAATAAATCTTTCTTTTTTTCTCTCTCTCTCTCTCTCTTTTTTTCCCATTTCCTTCAAAAGGGCCAGATTTGTTGTAATACTGGTCACTGGGAATTTAAGAAGGGGGCAAAAATTTGTTGCATTCATAAACCCTTTAACATAATTTTAGGAAGGCAAAATGAAAATAAGGTGAATTTGTGTATAATGGTACCTGTGTAAAAAATAACCTGGAGTGAAAATATCATGGTATATAGTACCATCAGTCACTTAAGTTCATGAAAAAAGAACAAACAAAAAATCCCAGACTTCAAAATGATTTGATCAATAAATAATACACAATTGTAGCAGATGTTCATATTTCTGGGTGATTTTGCAATACTTACATAGATTTTGGGGCTGTCACAGTAATCACTATAGCAACACTTACATGAAGACCACTGGGAGGAGGGTCATGTCGAACACGGAGATTAATTTCATACGTTGGAGATATTAAAAGCATGACCGCCTCCTGGTGTGTCACTTCGGTAACATCTTTACCATTTACCTGTGTAAATCATCCAAGTTTCTTGCTTACACTGGGGTTAACGTAAGATAAGTCATTTCATTTAATATCTTAAAATTCTACAAATTTATAGTCACATAAAATAAATTGATGCAGTCATGTATACATTTTTTTTTTAGAATTTAGAAGATGAAATACAAAAATATGAAATACAAATATTTCTGAAGATGAAAACTTATAAACATCAACAGACAGAATTATAATTAATCAGTAGCTGCTATTTCAGAAAAAGCAGATCATGAAAACCTCAAAACTCCTTAATGTCAATGAATAATTTGTTTGATTTGCAAATTAAGCATGTTAGCCCATTCAAATATCAAAAATTACCAAATGCATTAAAATGAAAGCCTACAAACCCACCTTTAAATGTCTCAATCTTACCATTTAACATCTATAAACTTATAACTTATCATTTTAACCATTAAATACCTATTAACTTCCAATTTTAACCATTAAATGTCTATTATTTATAAATTCACCATAAAATGTCTTTTAAGTCCCAATCTAACCATTTAACATCAATAAACTTGTAACTTACCATCTTAACCATTAAATGTTTATTACTTTACAATGTCTCATTAAATACCTATTAACTTCCAATTTTAACCATTAAATGTATATTACTTAACCAACTTACCATTAGATGTCTATTAATTCCTGAACTTACCATTAAAAGCCTATCACCAATTTTTAACGCTGTTTTAGATGCAGCACCATCAGGAACAATCTAAGAAATAAACATTTTTGTTAGTAAAATGTGAAAACAAAAGTATTTTTAGGCGAAGCATGAGAAACAGTCAGGAAATCATTTTCAAAATCTTAATTTTGCATGTAAAAATTTTTTCAATTTGTGAACAAAATAATAAAACCAATTACCAATGAAAAATCAATCCTATGAGATCAAATCTATGTTAACATTCACAAAAACCACAAAAGTTTCACTTACTTTTGATACAAATATACCTGGCTCATCTAGACCAAATGGATGACTGGCGTGATCACTGCCCCCAACAATAGAAAGTCCGAGAGGGCCGCCTGCCTTCACTATGGTTATATCCTCCATGGGAAACTTACTTGATACATCATTTGGCAGATTGTCACATGAGTTCTGATGACTCACAGTAATTGTCTGATTGGCTGCTTTATCAGCCTCACTTTGACTGTCACTTGAATTTAACACAGATGTTTGTTGCAGTGTTTGTGGGGGTGATGGTGGTGGTGGAGGAAGTGGAGGAGATGTTGGCTCCATAATGTCTTTGTTCTTATTTTCTACAGATGTCCGTGAATTCCGATTAAATCCGGGATACACAAATTTTGGCGGCTGCACTGTAGTTGGTTTTGATGACCATTCGCTGGAGATACGAGGGCTAGCCGCAGGAGAGGTGGTGAGAGGCGTGTATGGAGTGGCTTTGTTGTCAGGGGAGATTGGAGGGGGTGGGACATCAGGGAGGGGAGGGGGTGTACCAGAAAAGTCTGCAGAGGAAATGCTGGCACTCGGAGGACTGGGATATGTGTATGAAGAAGGGATTGCTGACGAATACGGGCTAGGACTTGGTAACCCTGGTGATGGTGACACTGTCATCACTGGCGATTGACTGACGATGATTGTATCTTCTTTCTCGGCTGGTGGAGATGATTCGTTCCATGTAATGAGGGGCTGGGTCATCGTTTTGAGACGTTCACCACTGGGTGGATTTACAACAGCCTCCTCCTTTGGAATGACTTTCTCCCGATACACGACAAGGTTGATAAAGTTATCTACTCCAGTCAACAACGATACTGCTTGGTCGTGACGGGCATCCTGCATATCTACATTGTTTATCTGAAGCAGGAACAAATGTTTCAATCACAATCATACATAAACTTCTTTTTAAATCACTCACCAAATTTCTAAAATCAAATTTAAGTTTATAACACATAAATAAATCTTTATTTATCCCTTCGAGAAGTAATGGCAAGTCTTAAGACATATCAAAATTTCCTGTTCTGTTACTTGTACACATGACTTGAATTTATGAAATTTTATTTCAAATTCTAAATTCTTTTATCCAGGAAATTATCTCATTCAAAATTTACAAAACAACATGATTACGATGAAGAAATGTTAATTGGTTAATTTACATTTTTCCTATAGTTCATTTTAGTTATTCCTTATAAGTTTTCTTTATTCCTTATAAGTTTTCTTTTTTCAAACTTCAACTGAAAAAGTTTTAGCAGAAAAATAATGTATAAAATATCTTGTAAGCTTTGAATGGATCATGGATTTTCCATACCGAAATAATCCTGTCGCCGACTTTGAGGTTACCGTCCTTGGCCGCGGCTCCTCCTTCTGTCACACGCGAAATGTAGATAGCCTGAAAGTATAAGGGAGATAACTCATAAGTCACCTTCATTAATTGAAAAATCTTAAAAGACAAAGGGTCAAATAGGTCTCCAAAAAATCATCCAGCACTGATCTGGTATAGGTATTTTTGAATACTACAGGTGTGGTAAAGTTAATCTGGAAAATTAAAGATAATTGACAGTATTTCATACAGAAACAATGACAAGTATATTTGATGAAAGACTTAGGGTAACAATTAGAAATAATAATATGTTGTTTACTAAACATCTAACACATCTAATGATGAATTTTCTAAATCTATCTGGACTTTTTATTTTTCTATATGTCACACAGTTCATTTATATTGGAAATTAACCTGCTTAGGAGAAAAATTGTCTGCTCTTATGATAAGATGTGTGAGAGGACAGGTCACATGCTTTGATATTCAGACATCCTCCATACTCTAAGGGTTATGATATCACTCTCATCCTCCATACTCTGAGGGTTATGTTATCACTCTCAGCCTCCATACTCTAAGGGTAATGATATCACTTTCTCTCTCATCCTCCATACTCTAAGGGTTATGATATCACTTTCATCCTCCATACTCTAAGGGTTATGTTATCACTCTCATCCTCCATACTCCTAAGGGTTATGTTATCACTCTCATCCTCCATACTCTAAGGGTTATGATATCACTCTCACTCTCATCCTCCATACTCCTAAGGGTTATGATATCACTCTCAGCCTCCATACTCCTAAGGGTTATGATATCACTCTCACTCTCATCCTCCATACTCTAAGGGTTATGATATCACTCTCATCCTCCATACTCTAAGGGTTATGATATCACTCTCATCCTCCTTACTCTAAGGGTTATGATATCACTCTCATCCTCCATACTCCTAAGGGTTATGATATCACTCTCATCCTCCATACTCTAAGGGTTATGTTATCACTCTCATCCTCCATACTCTAAGGGTTATGATATCACTCTCATCCTCCATACTCCTAAGGGTTATGATATCACTCTCATCCTCCATACTCCTAAGGGTTATGATATCACTCTCATCCTCCATACTCCTAAGGGTTATGATATCACTCTCATCCTCCATACTCCTAAGGGTTATGATATCACTCTCATCCTCCATACTCCTAAGGGTTATGATATCACTCTCATCCTCCATACTCCTAAGGGTTATGATATCACTCTCATCCTCCATACTCTAAGGGTTATGATATCACTTTCACTCTCATCCTCCATACTCTAAGGGTTATGATATCACTCTCATCCTCCATACTCCTAAGGGTTATGATATCACTCTCATCCTCCATACTCCTAAGGGTTATGATATCACTCTCACTCTCATCCTCCATACTCTAAGGGTTATGATATCACTCTCACTCTCATCCTCCATACTCCTAAGGGTTATGATATCACTCTCATCCTCCATACTCTAAGGGTTATGATATCACTCTCATCCTCCATACTCTAAGGGTTATGATATCACTCTCAGCCTCCATACTCCTAAGGGTTATGATATCACTCTCATCCTCCATACTCTAAGGGTTATGATATCACTCTCACTCTCATCCTCCATACTCTAAGGGTTATGATATCACTCTCATCCTCCATACTCTAAGGGTTATGATATCACTTTCACTCTCATCCTCCATACTCTAAGGGTTATGATATCACTCTCATCCTCCATACTTTAAGGGTTATGATATCACTCTCATCCTCCATACTCCTAAGGGTTATGATATCACTCTCATCCTCCATACTCTAAGGGTTATGATATCACTCTCATCCTCCACACTCCTAAGGGTTATGATATCACTCTCATCCTCCATACTCTAAGGGTTATGATATCACTTTCACTCTCATCCTCCATACTCTAAGGGTTATGATATCACTATCATCCTCCATACTCCTAAGGGTTATGATATCACTCTCATCCTCCATACTCCTAAGGGTTATGATATCACTCTCACTCTCATCCTCCATACTCTAAGGGTTATGATATCACTCTCATCCTCCTTACTCTAAGGGTTATGATATCACTCTCATCCTCCATACTCCTAAGGGTTATGATATCACTCTCATCCTCCATACTCTAAGGGTTATGTTATCACTCTCATCCTCCATACTCTAAGGGTTATGATATCACTCTCATCCTCCATACTCCTATGGGTTATGATATCACTCTCATCCTATGGGTTATGATATCACTCTCATCCTCCATACTCTAAGGGTTATGATATCACTCTCATCCTCCATACTCTAAGGGTTATGATATCACTCTCATCCTCCAAACTCCTAAGGGTTATGATATCACTCTCATCCTCCATACTCTAAGGGTTATGATATCACTTTCACTCTCATCCTCCATACTCTAAGGGTTATGATATCACTCTCATCCTCCATACTCCTAAGGGTTATGATATCACTCTCATCCTCCATACTCCTAAGGGTTATGATATCACTCTCACTCTCATCCTCCATACTCTAAGGGTTATGATATCACTCTCATCCTCCTTACTCTAAGGGTTATGATATCACTCTCATCCTCCATACTCCTAAGGGTTATGATATCACTCTCATCCTCCATACTCTAAGGGTTATGTTATCACTCTCATCCTCCATACTCTAAGGGTTATGATATCACTCTCATCCTCCATACTCCTAAGGGTTATGATATCACTCTCACTCTCATCCTCCATACTCTAAGGGTTATGATATCACTCTCATCCTCCTTACTCTAAGGGTTATGATATCACTCTCATCCTCCATACTCCTAAGGGTTATGATATCACTCTCATCCTCCATACTCTAAGGGTTATGATATCACTCTCATCCTCCTTACTCTAAGGGTTATGATATCACTCTCATCCTCCATACTCCTAAGGGTTATGATATCACTCTCATCCTCCATACTCTAAGGGTTATGTTATCACTCTCATCCTCCATACTCTAAGGGTTATGATATCACTCTCATCCTCCATACTCCTAAGGGTTATGATATCACTCTCATCCTCCATACTCTAAGGGTTATGATATCACTCTCATCCTCCATACTCTAAGGGTTATGATATCAGTCTCACTCTCATCCTCCATACTCTAAGGGTTATGATATCACTCTCATCCTCCATACTCCTAAGGGTTATGATATCACTCTCATCCTCCATACTCCTAAGGGTTATGATATCACTCTCACTCTCATCCTCCATACTCTAAGGGTTATGATATCACTCTCATCCTCCTTACTCTAAGGGTTATGATATCACTCTCATCCTCCATACTCTAAGGGTTATGATATCACTCTCATCCTCCATACTCTAAGGGTTATGATATCACTCTCATCCTCATACTCTAAGGGTTATGATCTCACTCTCATCCTCCATACTCCTAAGGGATATCACTCTCATCCTCCATACTCTAAGGGTTATGATATCACTCTCATCCTCCATACTCTAAGGGTTATGATATCACTCTCATCCTCCATACTCCTAAGGGTTATGATATCACTCTCATCCTCCATACTCTAAGGGTTATGATATCACTCTCATCCTCCTTACTCTAAGGGTTATGATATCACTCTCATCCTCCATACTCCTAAGGGTTATGATATCACTCTCATCCTCCATACTCTAAGGGTTATGTTATCACTCTCATCCTCCATACTCTAAGGGTTATGATATCACTCTCATCCTCCATACTCCTAAGGGTTATGATATCACTCTCATCCTCCATACTCTAAGGGTTATGATATCACTCTCATCCTCCATACTCTAAGGGTTATGATATCACTCTCATCCTCCATACTCTAAGGGTTATGATATCACTCTCATCCTCCAAACTCCTAAGGGTTATGATATCACTCTCATCCTCCATACTCTAAGGGTTATGATATCACTTTCACTCTCATCCTCCATACTCTAAGGGTTATGATATCACTCTCATCCTCCATACTCCTAAGGGTTATGATATCACTCTCATCCTCCATACTCCTAAGGGTTATGATATCACTCTCACTCTCATCCTCCATACTCTAAGGGTTATGATATCACTCTCATCCTCCTTACTCTAAGGGTTATGATATCACTCTCATCCTCCATACTCCTAAGGGTTATGATATCACTCTCATCCTCCATACTCTAAGGGTTATGTTATCACTCTCATCCTCCATACTCTAAGGGTTATGATATCACTCTCATCCTCCATACTCCTAAGGGTTATGATATCACTCTCACTCTCATCCTTCATACTCTAAGGGTTATGATATCACTCTCATCCTCCTTACTCTAAGGGTTATGATATCACTCTCATCCTCCATACTCCTAAGGGTTATGATATCACTCTCATCCTCCATACTCTAAGGGTTATGATATCACTCTCATCCTCCATACTCTAAGGGTTATGTTATCACTCTCATCCTCCATACTCTAAGGGTTATGATATCACTCTCATCCTCCATACTCCTAAGGGTTATGATATCACTCTCACTCTCATCCTCCATACTCTAAGGGTTATGTTATCACTCTCATCCTCCATACTCCTAAGGGTTATGATATCACTCTCATCCTCCATACTCCTAAGGGTTATGATATCACTCTCATCCTCCATACTCCTAAGGGTTATGATATCACTCTCATCCTCCATACTCTAAGGGTTATGATATCACTCTCACTCTCCTCCTTCTTACTCCAGGGGTTACTTTAACTTTCACTCTAATCATCAATAATCTAGGGGTTACGTTCAATTCTACCTCTGCACCCCTGGAACATAGCATGGCAAAATTAAAGTGGCCATGTACGACACCTTGTAGACAAGATGAAAATACTAGTTTGACCTCTGATTTATATCAAACAAATATCAACGGCTTTTAAATTAGGTGTTGCTCCCATGTAATTTTCAAAAGGGGTGTATCAACCTGTGATTGGTCATTTTTTTTCTCCTGGAACCAATCAAATTACTTTGCTTGTGCCATCAATTTTGCCATGACATGTTCAAGGGGTGCAGAGAGCGAAAGTGAATGCAACTCCAGAAGTATCGAGTATGATTTTCACGTAGCCCACATCATTCTTACTAAAGAAGCCCAACATGTTACCATTTTTAGGAAGTCCCAAAAAAAAATCCAATCACAAATATGTTAATAGGTAATAGTGCATATTGTCTACCTTTATTTTTAAATTGACTCTGAAATTACTTGAATTTTCAATCTAGATTACTTGTACCGTAAATGTACCGGTAGATAGAAACAAGTTAATTTCAGTGACAGACAAAAACATATAAGGATTATACAGTAATTGCTATGGGCAAAAATGATGTTCGCTAAATATTGCAGTCGCAAAGTTAACAATATTAATTTTTGATATTTTTAGAATCATTATATCCTATAGAAATGTAAAGTGAACATATGAGATGAAACACCTGTCGATGAGAAGACAGTATAAACAGAGTTAACCTGGTGACTGAAACAGAAGAGACACACAGCTAGTACAGGAATTACTAAGAAAACATTGTTGATGAGCTTTTCAAGTTATTAGCACTGCATTTGGAGCAAGACTTGGTGACTTATTATTCTCTTATGTTGGTACCATAATTACTGAATCTTAGATCCTTTGATTTCTCTGCTTCAGATCAAATCTAGGATCTCGGATTTACAATCTTATACTGTACAAGGATATATTTTTATAGCTAAATATCTTTAATAATGGAGATGTCTATTATTTAGTGTACAACGCTAATTTTTTAAAAAATTTCTTCGATAAAAATGTAATTGTTAACATGATATCTATGATAAGACTGACATACTAACATTCTCTCCAATCACACTGGTATATATCCTACACTAGTCAGAAATATGGACCTACACAAGTCCTTTATGAAACCATAAAAACAACAGCTGTGGTATTCATGCCACTGCAAACTGCTTGAACTGATTTCTAGAAAAGCCTGGTTCAGTCACAGACAGTAAGGATGATTATAGGTAACTGTAACATGTTAATGAATTTCTGTATTAAATTCTTCACAATACAAGATATTGGGATCATGCTAGATCTAAACACTGTTGGCTGTAATCTTGGGTAAATAAGGGGTTTTACATGATAAAGAAAACATTTATTACATTTTATCACAAAAAAAAATATCAGGATTAATAATTCAAGAGAACAAAACCATGCGAATTCTATGCGGGCGCTAAAAATAGAAAAGAATAGAAACAACTTTTAGACATAAAATGGTCACAAGCAATCTTGTACAAAATAAACAACAATATTTAACATCACAAGGGACACAACCATCGACGGAATTCCATGCACTGACTATACAAACCTCGAGGAAGGTATACACTTGCTGTAAAAACGATGGAGACAATGATCAAACAACGCCATCAAACCACGTCTCTTCAAAACTTTTATCTTTTTGTAGGTTATTTTTCAAGGTCTTCTTTTATCAACAAAATACTTCTACGACAAAACAATACTTAATATCTATCTACATCTTTTATCAAATTGTTTCAATGCTTCTAAAAACTGAAACTTTAACAATTTTTCATGGAAAGGTAGGACCTTTTAAGTTGTTATATTACCACCAAAATGTTTTCAGTGTGTCTGTTGAGCTATCAAATGTGTAAATATAGAAATCACTTCAGCACCTAGAAAAGAAGTGTCTGGAAAGAGTGTAAAACAAGTTTACATATTACAACATTGATTAAGACCTCGGGATTACAATACAGTACAAATAAGGAGAAAACAAAAGTCTCACAACAACACAATGTATCCTGACTTAACCTTCATTAAATTCCTTGGAAGAGAAACGAGTTGGGGCCATATCCTGTCCTTAACCTTCTTTAAATTCCTTGGAAGAGAAACGAGTTGGGGCCATATCCTGTCCTTAACCTTCTTTAAATTCCTTGGAAGAGAAACAAGATGGGGCCATATCCTGTCCTTAACCTTCTTTAAATTCCTTGGAAGAGAAACAAGCTGAGGCCATATCCTGACTTAACCTTCATTAAATTCCTTGGAAGAGAAATGAGTCAGGGCCATATCCTGTCCTTAACCTTCATTAAATTCCTTGGAAGAGAAACAAGATGGGGCCATATCCTGTCCTTAACCTTCATTAAATTCCTAGGAAGAGAAACAAGATGGGGCCATATCCTGTCCTTAACCTTCATTAAATTCCTAGGAAGAGAAACAAGATGGGGCCATATCCTGTCCTTAACCTTCATTAAATTCCTTGGAAGAGAAACAAGATGGGGCCATATCCTGTCCTTAACCTTCATTAAATTCCTAGGAAGAGAAACAAGATGGGGCCATATCATGTCTTTAACCTTCATTAAATTCCTTGGAAGAGAAACGAGTTGGGGCCATATCCTGTCCTTAACCTTCATTAAATTCCTTGAAAAGAAACGAGTTAGGGCCATATCATGTCTTTAACCTTCAATAAATTCCTTGGAAGAGAAACAAGTTGGGGCCATATCCTGTCCTTTATTTATCATCGTTTAAGAAAAACAACTTGTAACCATATCAAAGTTTTTTAAAACCATTCTGTTTCATTGTTTAATTTGAATGCCATTAATCATAAGAATTTTAATTCAAATAAGTACAGTTTACGTAGATGAATTTCAACATTTTTCATCAGAAAAGTAACCTTTATACACAAACTTTTTCAGCTGGTAAAAGTTTTATCAAACATTTGAAGTTTTACATTTTCCTTCTTTTTTTAAGTATCAATTGAAACGCCTATTGAAATTAGGATTTTCACCCAATCAGTCTAGTTTGAGAAAGACCATACAATGATTATCAACATCCACAAAAAATTCACTATGTGACATGTTATTGAATGACTAACATCACATTTCATTTCATTATAGGCAATGGCACAGATTAGCAGTCAAGCTTCTAAGTGAGGCAACTAGCTTGCTAAGGGGAGATAATCTGCATATTCCTTCGATGAGATAGTTTGTAACACTATATCTCCTGGGGTTACAACATCACTTTCTCTCTCTACACCCTTGGAACATATCAAGACAAAATCGAAGGTTCCATGTGTTACACCTTGTAGACAAGATGACAAGACTAGTTTGACCTCTGATGTCCATCAAACGAATCTCGAGGTTGCATATTGGGAAATTGTCATGGCTTTGAAGTTGGGTGTCATTCCTACGTAATCTTCAAAATGAGCATATCAGCCTGTGATTGGTCAGTTTTTTTCACCTGGAACCAATCAAATGACTTTGCTTGTGCCTTCGATTTTGTCATGACATGTTTCAGCAGTGCAGAGTGGAAGTAATTAGAACCCCTGGAGCATCAAGGATGGTATGCAGTGTGTTTATAGATAACACGAGATAAAGATTACAGTGCTGTGCTTCATTAGCCAAGCAAATACAGCAGTGATTAAAATCAAAAGGTTGAAGTGCCTTGAACGGTCACTGACTAAGAGACAGGACACATACCCATGACAAAGATTGCTTTTGTGTTAAAAAGCATATTTTCAACTAAATATATGTGAAAATATGATACCTATTTTATCTGAAATCTGACGATGTTATATAGTATTGTTTCTATTGAACAACATTTTAAGAAAGAAAAATAAGAAAATTTTTCACAAAGTCATTCCAATGTCTGTGAAAATGTGCAACTTAGCAGTATTTGTACAATTTTTCTAAAAAAAAAGAAAAAGAAATCGAAAAGGCCAATTTTATTTCAATTCATTACAGACTATTAATCTTCTTCATCATATCCTGGATGAAATATTTTCAGAACAATTTTGTATATCATTAAAAAAATAGATAATTTATTAACCTATTTGTAACAACCCTTCTGCTTAAACAAGTTTAAATAGATGTTGTAAAATCACTCTCATTATTCATTCAAATTACTGCATGCATGTTTCAGAATTTCCCCCTAAAATTTCTATTCCCATTGAGGTGATATAACTCCTAGACGTAAAGACAGACTTTTAAAAGAAAGTAATATATGAAAGTTTAGGAAAACATTTAGAAACTGTCTGAAGATCAATGAAAGAGAAAGTTACAAATTAAAGAAAAATGTTACAGATTTTATTAATTGTAACTTTTAAAAAGTCGCAGAAAATATCTGTAATGTTATCAGTGTAACTGTTGAAAACAAAAACCTAGAAAGCAAAATCAAAAAACAGAAAGAGATACTACAGGTATAGACTTAAAGTTTACACAAAACACAAAATTATGATACAAATTCAAAATATGAGGATGAACTGACTTTACAAAAAGTTCTTCAAGCAACAATGAAACTTAATGTTTTAGCTTGCAGTCAATAGAAATCTGAAGGATAATAGGAAAAGGGGAGGTAATTTAGAAATGTATCATACCTGATCGTTTCCCTTGAATGGTACTGAGCCTCTGCCACCTGCAATGCTGAATCCCAGCCCATTCTCGTCTCGTTTCAAAATGGTTTTGATTGTCTGAAAAATAAGTAGATTCATTACCTTGAGTATTACTTCAGACACAGACATATACTTAAGCAACTTAACTCTATCTGGTTATGTCAGAAGTTTATGGGTCTATAAACTCTGAAGAAGATATTCCTCACCTCTCCAAACACCTCTGTGTCTGGTGCTTGTTCAAATGTCACTGTGGCAAACCCTGGCTTCTTCTCATCTGAACTTTCCTAAAGAGCATAAACACATATCAAACATCTAATATCTCATACATTGATATTTACAAAGAAATAATTTCAACAACTTGCAGAATTATTATTTAATTTATGTGATTATTCACATAAAATAGGGAATAAGAGAACATAAATTTGTGTTAAATCATTACAAGTGTTGTATCTAAAATAACTCTCTGAAAAAAACTCAAGGAATTATTATTTAATTTAAAATATGTGATTATTCACATAAAATAGGGAATAAGAGAACATAAATTTGTGTTAAATCATTACAAGTGTTGTATCTAAAATAACTCTCTGAAAAAAACTCAAGGAATTATTATTTAATTATAAACTCATAGCTAGATAATTTATCACATGGAATTCTATATAACTAAAGGCAATAGTTTTGAAAATATTCCCATCAGTTTTCAGCTGTTTAACTTCAACATAAAAAGAATCTAACAGAACAGAAGTAAGATAACTCTGAGACACTACTTACTGATAAAGCAACCTCTGGTGTTACTGACTCAGTTTCAGGGAGAGGTAACTCCCTACTTAAAACCATAGTGATATCGTTTCCTGCAGTTTTGAGCACATCAACAGCATCATAGTGATCAGCCTCGACTAGGTTCACTCCATTTACCTGTAACCAAATAAAGAGTTTTGATAATCACTCAAAAGACAGGTAACAAGCTTCTTCAGACACTGATAATTCATAAATTTTAGCTTCATTCTTATGAAATTAGCATAAAATTAAAATCTGAAAACTTTGCTAATATGACCATTATGATAAGACCTAATTTCTATTTAAGTTTGTGTTTTGTATAGACTAGAATCAGTTAACAAAGGTTGACAGTAACAATGATCATAACGTTTGACCTCTAATAATACAGACTGTTACATTTTAAAATCTTTACAGTGATGTTATTAATTTAAGTTGGAGACCTTCAGTAAAATAAGACAAAACACAATAAGAAAAGTATTGGCGAGAAATATGCCAGTTGTTTGCACCTACCGAAATTAGTTTATCTCCTGTTCGAACACCTGCTTTCCCAGCAGGCCCTTCATCCGTCACACGGGATATGAAAATACTCTGTCAATAAGAACACGAGACATCCAATTAAACATTGTTAATGTTGGTATTCATAACAGTTTCTTTTCCATAGTTCTGATGGATGGAATGAAATTGTGGCAAAAAATACCTTGAAAACAAACTAAAATCATGGAAAAAAGATATCTTGAAACCAAATATATATAATAAGCTTCAGAGAATACCCAGTAGTGATCAATATCTCTCTAGTATCACACATACTGGCCATGTGGACAAAACTATAAAAATCTGACAACTGTGGTAATCACCAATCTTTATACTACCTTGTAGTGTTGAATATCTCTCTAGTAGCACACATACTGTGTATGTGGACACTTAAGTTATGTTTTCATATTAAAACATTTTAATCTGAGTTCAGGTATATCAATCTGATACCTCTTTTCATTTTTTATCTGATATCAAAAGCTTCATTATCATGATACTTTAAAACATTTTTAATCTTTGTAGTCGATATTTGTGAGGGATTCAATTTTCCTACACTCATGGTCAATACAGAATGCCCAAAACTTCATACCAAAGAAACTCTTTTACAATGAATCTAATTCTCAGAAAATACCCATTACTCTAGAATACAACGATACGAATAGATAAACATGCTAAATTTAATCGATGTTAATTGGCAAAAACCAGGATAATCATGAAACATTAGTCCTGTATATTTAAACTAAGTACTAAGCTTTTTGCTCAGACTACTATAGGATATTACCTCATCGTCCCCTTTGTATGGAGTAGAGCCCTTGCCTCCGGCGATACTAATGCCCAGTCCCTGGCCCTTCTGCCGAAGTATGTGAATTGAGAATTTCTCCTCCTGTGTCTTACTGTGGAGACTGTCATTGACACTTGGTAGTCTGAGACCCTCGATAGGCTGTAACAAAATTACATCTTCATTTAAATACTGTAAATGACCTTTTAAGGGTACAAGCCTCAATACGGCGCCCGTGCCCTTTTTTTCCAGGAAAATTTCTTGGTTGAGTGTCAAGATGCCCTCAGAAATGATAAATTTTTTTACTACATCTACCTTTTTATTCCGAATATATAAATAGGCCTATGCTGGGGATTACAATGACTGCACTGTGGACATTGAAAGCAGGTATGATTTCAATGTCCTGGGTTAGTGCAGTCGTAGTAATCATCAGCATCGTCCATATCACTGTCCAAGCCACTAGCGCTACTCTTGGAAAGTTCAATGTTCGCTCTTTGCACATCTGCACTTGTATTTTTGAGAACAGTCTGGGCTACGTCAAGGTAACTTTTCATTGTTTTCGGTTGAATGCCTTTCAAAAACACTTGCCAATATTCTGATTAGATTGGTCTATAAATAACATCACATGGTTTCGCTGAAATTTTGCTATAGTCCGTTTCAAATTTCTACTTACTCTCAATTGAACTGGAAGCTGTCTGCAACATACATATCATCTATAGTTTGTTTCATGAAATGTGCCATTGCCTTCAATTACCTGTACCCTGTGCCCTTATTAGGTCAAATATGATACATGTAAAGCATTAGTACTTATCTGTAATTACTTGATTTCACCTTTTACTGATAGTTATAAATCATTATCGATATTACTAAAGTTAACCATTTTTTTCTGATTCATAGAGTATTTTCTGAATTTCAAGTGTCATGTTGCAATACATTTCTTTTGAAAATTTTGCTTTTCCTTATTGTGTGCAACCCTTTTGCTTCTTGGTAACCCTACACTGCATCTAATAGGTTAAAAAACAGTATACTGGAAATCTTTCTAACTTTTGGTTATATTTCTAGAAAATTAAAAAACAACAGAGAACAGAATATTTGATTTGCAATTACTGTGAGAAATCCATTCATTTTGCTTCAAGATTTCGGTATAGTACATTATAAGTAACACAGAACAATTATGGATTTTATAAATTCTAAGTTACCACAGCTCCATATCCCTCAAGTACCCACCTCTAGTTTCACAGGTGCCACTGTCTGTTCCTTTTGAGCTGCGGCCTGAGCCAGAATCTCCAACACCTTTTCCTTGGTTTCCTCGTTGTGTATGATACGTTTGTTTTTCCTGTGATGAGGAGTGTCCCTTCGGCGAAGTCCAATCTTACGATCTGGATGCTCTTCAATCTCTGGGTCAAATCCGACCTTCCGGGGACGATAAATATCGTCCTAGTGGTAGAGTAAAACATGGTGAGTAATTATCACAAAGATTTGTATGTCACAAACTAACATTTTTATCTTTCTTGTACATATCCTTATCTAAATGATTTTTTAAAAAATAATTAATAATTTTGTCACATATGAAACATCTATTCTACTACACCATAAATTGGACAGGGGCAAAAAAGAGTACACAGTAATTTGAACTCAACGAATTTGCCCTCAATCTACACCCAATATTTAATTTACAATATTATTCTTCCGTATTCAGATTATTACTACATATATAGTCGAAACTCGTTTTCTCAAAATTCAAGAGACCATGGAAAATATTTATTTATCCGTATTTCGACTCAAACCAAGTTCATAAATAAGGTTGACAGTATCAATTTCCTGACATTGATAAAGGTTGAATTGAGTAGGGTTACTATAGTATGCCAACAGTGTAGTTTAATCTGATATTTGAAACGGCAGTAAATAAATGAATGAATTTATCCTACAACGAGTAACAACTGTATATACAATGGATTGTTTGTAGAATTCAAAAAACATAAACAGCATCTTGATTCTGCAATATCTATATGATAGCTATCATTTATAAATTTCTGTGATATACCATAAACTACCAATCTCCGGTTATGGTAATGAAGTTTCTTTCATCATATAAATCCTTGACTGAGACAAATACTCACATCATCAGAATCATACTCCTCAAAACTCCTCTGCTCCTCATCTGAATCATCAGCCTCTTCCTCTTCTACCCCTCCATTGTACTGCTCCTCAGGGATGAACACCGGCTCAGTTACCGTGACTTCACGGATCAGTGGAGCGGTCTCTGTGGGGGACTCTTCCTCCTCGCTGATCTCCTGGGTTTGACTCTCATGGCGAGGTGGACCAACTAGTTCTGGAGCTGTCCAATTCAAATAAACATTAATATTACATCTCAGGGTATGGCAGCTAGCTTAAACTTTTGAATCTTCCATGTCATGTACAGTAGTGAAACAAAGAAGATAATTTTCTGATGGGCACACTGTTGCTAAAGGACCTATCGACAATGATGGGGAAATCTCTAAGAGAATAACTACCTTTATTTCAGAAAATTCAAATTCTATGAAAGAACAGTTTAGATGACAAGGCAAATTTTCTACAAAGGAATCCATATTTCGGGTTTCAAATATGTTTTCTATACAGGGATGAAATTTGATCACACGGCGAGTTGTTTCTTTGATGGTTTCTGTAAGAGACCAACCTTTGATTACTGGGGGTATAGTTTCTGTGATGGTTTCTGTAAGAGACCAACCTTTGATTACTGGGGGTACAGTTTCTGTGATGGTTTCTATAAGGGACCAACCTTTGATTACTGGGGGTACTGTTTCTGTGATGGTTTCTATGAGGACCAACCTTTGATTACTGGGGGTACTGTTTCTGTGATGGTTTCTATGAGGACCAACCTTTGATTACTGGGGGTACTGTTTCTGTGATGGTTTCTATAAGGGACCAACCTTTGATTACTGGGGGTACTGTTTCTGTGATGGTTTCTATGAGGACCAACCTTTGATTACTGGGGGTACTGTTTCTGTGATGGTTTCTATGAGGACCAACCTTTGATTACTGGGGTACTGTTTCTGTGATGGTTTCTATAAGGGACCAACCTTTGATTACTGGGGGTACTGTTTCTGTGATGGTTTCTATGAGGACCAACCTTTGATTACTGGGGGTACAGTTTCTGTGATGGTTTCTATAAGGGATCAACCTTTGATTACTGGGGGTACAGTTTCTGTGATGGTTTCTATAAGGGATCAATCTTTGATTACTGGGGCCTTGTTTATTTGATGGTTTCTATAAGGGACCAACCTTTGATTACTGGGGGTACAGTTTCTGTGATGGTTTCTATAAGGGACCAACCTTTGATTACTGGGGGTACTGTTTCTGTGATGGTTTCTATAAGGGACCAACCTTTGATTACTGGGGGTACAGTTTCTGTGATGGTTTCTATAAGGGATCAACCTTTGATTACTGGGGGTACAGTTAATTTGATGGTTTCTATAAGGGACCAATTTTTGATTACTGGGGGTACAGTTTATTTGATGGTTTCTATGAGGACCAACCTTTGATTACTGGGGGTACAGTTTATGTGATGGTTTCTATAAGGGACCAACCTTTGATTACTGGGGGTACAGTTTATTTGATGGTTTCTATAAGGGACCAACCTTTGATTACTGGGGGTACTGTTTCTGTGATGGTTTCTATGAGGACCAACCTTTGATTACTGGGGGTACAGTTTCTGTGATGGTTTCTATAAGGGATCAACCTTTGATTACTGGGGGTACAGTTTATTTGATGGTTTCTATAAGGGACCAACCTTTGATTACTGGGGGGACAGTTTCTGTGATGGTTTCTATAAGGGACCAACCTTTGATTACTGGGGGTACAGTTTATTTGATGGTTTCTATAAGGGACCAACCTTTGATTACTGGGGGTACAGTTTCTGTGATGGTTTCTATGAGGACCAACCTTTGATTACTGGGGGTACAGTTTCTGTGATGGTTTCTATAAGGGACCAACCTTTGATTACTGGGGGTACTGTTTCTGTGATGGTTTCTATGAGGACCAACCTTTGATTACTGGGGGTACAGTTTCTGTGATGGTTTCTATAAGGGACCAACCTTTGATTACTGGGGGTACAGTTTATTTGATGGTTTCTATAAGGGACCAACCTTTGATTACTGGGGGTACTGTTTCTGTGATGGTTTCTATGAGGACCAACCTTTGATTACTGGGGGTACAGTTTCTGTGATGGTTTCTATAAGGGATCAACCTTTGATTACTGGGGGTACAGTTTCTGTGATGGTTTCTATAAGGGACCAACCTTTGATTACTGGGGGGACAGTTTCTGTGATGGTTTCTATAAGGGACCAACCTTTGATTACTGGGGGTACAGTTTATTTGATGGTTTCTATAAGGGACCAACCTTTGATTACTGGGGGTACAGTTTCTGTGATGGTTTCTATGAGGACCAACCTTTGATGACTGGGGGTACAGTTTATGTGATGGTTTCTATAAGGGACCAACCTTTGATTACTGGGGGTACAGTTTATGTGATGGTTTCTATGAGGACCAACCTTTGATTACTGGGGGTACAGTTTCTGTGATGGTTTCTATAAGGGACCACTGGGGGTACTGTTTCTGTGATGGTTTCTATGAGGACCAACCTTTGATTACTGGGGGTACAGTTTCTGTGATGGTTTCTATAAGGGACCAACCTTTGATTACTGGGGGTACAGTTAATTTGATGGTTTCTATGAGGACCAACCTTTGATTACTGGGGGTACAGTTTTATTACTGATGGTTTCTAAGTTTCTGTGATGGGAGGACCAACCTTTGATTACTGGGGGTACAGTTTTATTTGGTGGTTTATATAAGGGACCAACCTTTGATTACTGGGAGTACAGTTTCTGTGATGGTTTCTATAAGGGATCAACCTTTGATTACTGGGGGTACAGTTTCTGTGATGGTTTCTATAAGGGACCAACCTTTGATTACTGGGGGTACTGTTTCTGTGATGGTTTCTATGAGGACCAACCTTTGATTACTGGGGGTACAGTTTATGTGATGGTTTCTATAAGGGATCAACCTTTGATTACTGGGGGTACAGTTTATTTGATGGTTTCTATAAGGGACCAACCTTTGATTACTGGGGGGACAGTTTCTGTGATGGTTTCTATAAGGGACCAACCTTTGATTACTGGGGGTACAGTTTATTTGATGGTTTCTATAAGGGACCAACCTTTGATTACTGGGGGTACAGTTTCTGTGATGGTTTCTATGAGGACCAACCTTTGATTACTGGGGGTACAGTTTCTGTGATGGTTTCTATAAGGGACCAACCTTTGATTACTGGGGGTACTGTTTCTGTGATGGTTTCTATGAGGACCAACCTTTGATTACTGGGGGTACAGTTTATGTGATGGTTTCTATAAGGGACCAACCTTTGATTACTGGGGGTACAGTTTATTTGATGGTTTCTATAAGGGACCAACCTTTGATTACTGGGGGTACTGTTTCTGTGATGGTTTCTATGAGGACCAACCTTTGATTACTGGGGGTACAGTTTCTGTGATGGTTTCTATAAGGGATCAACCTTTGATTACTGGGGGTACAGTTTATTTGATGGTTTCTATAAGGGACCAACCTTTGATTACTGGGGGACAGTTTCTGTGATGGTTTCTATAAGGGACCAACCTTTGATTACTGGGGGTACAGTTTATTTGATGGTTTCTATAAGGGACCAACCTTTGATTACTGGGGGTACAGTTTCTGTGATGGTTTCTATGAGGACCAACCTTTGATTACTGGGGGTACAGTTTATGTGATGGATTCTATAAGGGACCAACCTTTGATTACTGGGGGTACTGTTAATTTGATGGTTTCTATGAGGACCAACCTTTGATTACTGGGGGTACAGTTTATTTGATGGTTTCTATAAGGGACCAACCTTTGATTACTGGGGGTACAGTTTCTGTGATGGTTTCTATAAGGGACCACTGGGGGTACTGTTTCTGTGATGGTTTCTATGAGGACCAACCTTTGATTACTGGGGGTACTGTTTCTGTGATGGTTTCTATGAGGACCAACCTTTGATTACTGGGGGTACAGTTTCTGTGATGGTTTCTATAAGGGACCAACCTTTGATTACTGGGGGTACAGTTAATTTGATGGTTTCTATGAGGACCAACCTTTGATTACTGGGGGTACAGTTTTATTTGGTGGTTTATATAAGGGACCAACCTTTGATTACTGGGAGTACAGTTTCTGTGATGGTTTCTATAAGGGATCAACCTTTGATTACTGGGGGTACAGTTTCTGTGATGGTTTCTATAAGGGAATAACCTTTGATTACTGGGGGTACAGTTTCTGTGATGGTTTCTATAAGGGATCAATCTTTGATTACTGGGGCCTTGTTTATTTGATGGTTTCTATAAGGGACCAACCTTTGATTACTGGGGGTACAGTTTCTGTGATGGTTTCTATAAGGGACCAACCTTTGATTACTGGGGGTACTGTTGCTGTGATGGTTTCTATAAGGGACCAACCTTTGATTACTGGGGGTACAGTTTCTGTGATGGTTTCTATAAGGGATCAACCTTTGATTACTGGGGGTACAGTTTCTGTGATGGTGTCTATAAGGGACCAACCTTTGATAACTGGGGGTACAGTTTCTGTGATGGGCTCCTCAGGTTTGACTTCCTCTTCTCCTCCGATTTGAACACGCTTTGATGTCTTGTCGCGTGGTTCTGAAAGGTCCTCTGGCTGGTCCTGCTGCCAAAGGAAGTCACTGTCACGATCACGTGCAGGCATGAATGCCTGATCCTGTACAGCAAGAGAGATATGTAGGCAATCATTACACACTTTGCATCAGAAAACATGGATAAAGAACAATATGAACAGCCCACTACAAAATGATGTTGGGTTTAATAAACAGACATACAGTGATAGGCATCCAGGTTGACACAAAAACATACACATTTTCAGAGGAATTAACATACAAAACATACAGAGGACAAAGATGTACAGACAGATATACAACACATTCAGAGGACAAAGATGTACAGACAGATATACAAAGCATACAGAGGACAAGGATGTACAGACAGACATACAAAACATACAGAGGACAAAGATGTACAGACAGACATACAATGCCTATAGAGGACAAAGATGTACAGACAGATATACAATACATACAGAGGATAAGGATGAACAGACAGACATACAAAACATACAGAGGACAAAGATGTACAGACAGACATACAAAACATACAGAGGACAAGGATGTACAGACAGACATACAATGCATACAGAGGACAAGGATGTACAGACAGACATACAATGCATACAGAGGACAAGGATGTACAGACAGACATACAAAACATACAGAGGATAAGGATGAACAGACAGACATACAAAACATACAGAGGACAAAGATGTACAGACAGACATACAAAACATACAGAGGACAAGGATGTACAGACAGACATACAATGCATACAGAGGACAAGGATGTACAGACAGACATATGTAAATGAGCTAGTACCTATTGCAATCAATGGGAGTTTGATAGTAATCTGTATATGAAAAAAGAGATTTTCTCCTTTGAACATTTGTTACCTTCCCACACAAAAATGCTCTTACCCCCATCACCAATGTTTCAATCATTGAAAGTGTCCAATAGATATTCAGACTTAGTAGCTAGAAGCAATGCAACAATAAGAAAAACAGAATCTATAAATTACAATCTAAAAGTAGATGTTTCACTTTCAGTGCACACATTCAGCCAGATAATATTATACACTCTCAAGTACAGATGGATAGGCAGACATACAAAGACAGATATTCAATATAACCATAAAAGTACAGATGGATTAACAGACATACTACAACAATACAGGTGAACATACAGACATATTAAGACAGTACAGACGGATGGACAGACATACTACGAGAGTATGGATGGATAAACAGACATAATAAGACAGTATGGATGGATGGAAAGACATATTCAGACAGTATGGATGGAGAGACAGACATACTTAGACAGTACAGATGGATATACAGACATACTAAGACAGTGCAGTTGAATAGACAAACAAAAACAGTACAGATAGACTGACAGACAATGACAGAATTGATGGATAGACAGACATACAAAGACAGTATGAATTGATAGACAGCCTAAGCCAGTAGAGATGGATGGACAGACATACTAAGACAGTACAGATAGACAGACATGCTAAGACAGTATGGATATATACAGACATACTAAGGCAGTACGGATAAATAGACAGACATACTAAGACAGTACAGATGGATAGACAGACATACTAAGACAGTACGGATGGATTGACAGACATACTAAGACAGTAGAGATAGACTGACAAACAATGACAATATTGATGGATAGACAGATGTACAATGACAATATTGATGGATAGACAGATGAACAATGACAGTATGAATTGATGGATAGACATACTAAGACAGTACAGATGGATAGACAGATATGCTAAGACAGTATGGATGGATGGACAGACATACAGACAGTATGAATGGATAAACAGACATATTTAGACACCCTGTTCAATCTAGTTGCCTACCTTCTTCTCCTGTTGGTGTGGAATCACATGCCCATCAATGCCTTGTACCTTATTCTTGTTGAACTTGGGGTGACGTGCTTTCAGCTCCTTGGGATGCGGAGTGTCATGCCTTACAAAAATGCTCTGTGAGAGAGTTCAATGTTCAGTTGTAAGAAAGTTCAAAGTTCAGTATACAGTCTATATCAAAGTATCCTCACAGACAGTCTATATCAAACCTACCCTCCACAGTCTATATCAAACCTACCCTCCACAGTCTATATCAAACCTTTCCACAGCTCAAATTTTCCAATCTATATCAAACCTACCCTCCACCCTCCACAGTCTATATCAAACCTTACCTCCATAGTCTATATCAAACCTACCCTCCACAGTCTATATCAAACCTTACCTCCACAGTCTATATCAAACCTACCCTCCACAGTCTATATCAAACCCTACCTCCACAGTCTATATCAAACCTACCCTCCACAGTCTATATCAAACTTAACCTCCACAGTCTATATCAAACCTTACCTCCACAGTCTATATCAAACCTACCCTCCACAGTCTATATCAAACCTACCCTCCACAGTCTATATCAAACCTAACCTCCACAGTCTATATCAAACCTACCCTCCACAGTCTATATCAAACCTACCCTCCACAGTCTATATCAAACCTACCCTCCACAGTCTATATCAAACCTAACCTCCACAGTCTATATCAAACTTAACCTCCACAGTCTATATCAAACTTACCCTCCACAGTCTATATCAAACCTACCCTCCACAGTCTATATCAAACCTACCCTCCACAGTCTATATCAAACCTACCCTCCACAGTCTATATCAAACCTACCCTCCACAGTCTATATCAAACCTTACCTCCACAGTCTATATCAAACCTACCCTCCACAGTCTATATCAAACCTACCCTCCACAGTCTATATCAAACCTAACCTCCACAGTCTATATCAAACCTACCCTCCACAGTCTATATCAAACCTACCCTCAACAGTCTATATCAAACCTAACCTCTACAGTCTATATCAAACCTAACCTCCACAGTCTATATCAAACCTACCCTCCACAGTCTATATCAAACCTACCCTCCACAGTCTATATCAAACTTAACCTCCACAGTCTATATCAAACCTAACCTCCACAGTCTATATCAAATCTACCCTCCACAGTCTATATCAAACCTACCCTCAACAGTCTATATCAAACCTTACCTCCACAGTCTATATCAAACTTACCCTCAACAGTCTATATCAAACCTTACCTCCACAGTCTATATCAAACCTACCCTCCACAGTCTATATCAAACCTACCCTCCACAGTCTATATCAAACCTACCCTCCACAGTCTATATCAAACCTACCCTCCACAGTCTATATCAAACCTTACCTCCACAGTCTATATCAAACCTAACCTCCACAGTCTATATCAAACCTTACCTCCACAGTCTATATCAAACCTACCCTCCACAGTCTATATCAAACCTACCCTCAACAGTCTATCTCAAATCTACCCTGCACAGTCTATATCAAACCTAACCTCAACAGTCTATATCAAACCTTACCTCCACAGTCTATATCAAACCTACCTCCACAGACTATAAAAAACCTTCACTCAACAGTCTATATCAAACCTACCTCCACAGTCTATATCAAACCTACCTCCACAGTCTATATCAAACCTACCTAACCCACAGTCTATATCAAACCTACCCTCCACAGTCTATATCAAACCTACCCTCCACAGTCTATATCAAACCTACCCTCCACAGTCTATATCAAACCTACCCTCCACAGTCTATATCAAACCTACCCTCCACAGTCTATATCAAACCTACCTCCACAGTCTATATCAAACCTACCTCCACAGTCTATATCTATATCATATCAAACCTTACATCCACAGTCTATATCAAACCTACCCTCCACAGTCTATATCAAACCTACCCTCCACAGTCTATATCAAACCTTACCTCCACAGTCTATATCAAACCTAACCTCCACAGTCTATATCAAACCTACCCTCCACAGTCTATATCAAACCTTACCTCCACAGTCTATATCAAACCTACCCTCCACAGTCTATATCAAACCTTACCTCCACAGTCTATATCAAACCTACCTCCACAGTCTATATCAAACCTCCACCTCCACAGTCTATATCACCTACCTCCACAGTCTATATCAAACTTACCTCCACAGTCTATATCAAACCTACCCTCCACAGTCTATATCAAACCTACCCTCCACAGTCTATATCAAACCTACCCTCCACAGTCTATATCAAACCTACCCTCCACAGTCTATATCAAACCTAACCTCCACAGTCTATATCAAACCTAACCTCCACAGTCTATATCAAACCTTACCTCCACAGTCTATATCAAACCTAACCTCCACAGTCTATATCAAACCTACCCTCCACAGTCTATATCAAACCTACCCTCCACAGTCTATATCAAACCTACCCTCCACAGTCTATATCAAACCTTACCTCCACAGTCTATATCAAACCTACCCTCCACAGTCTATATCAAACCTACCTCCACAGTCTATATCAAACCTACCTCCACAGTCTATATCAAACCTACCTCCACAGTCTATATCAAATCTATATCAAACCTACCTCCACAGTCTATATCAAACCTACCCTCCACAGTCTATATCAAACCTTACCTCCACAGTCTATATCAAACCTTACCTCCACAGTCTATATCAAACCTACCCTCCACAGTCTATATCAAACCTACCCTCCCTCCACAGTCTATATCAAACCTTACCTCCACAGTCTATATCAAACCTACCCTCCACAGTCTATATCAAACCTTACCTCCACAGTCTATATCAAACCTACCCTCCACAGTCTATATCAAACCTACCCTCCACAGTCTATATCAAACCTACCCTCCACAGTCTATATCAAACCTACCTCAACAGTCTATATCAAACCTACCCTCCACAGTCTATATCAAACCTTACCTCCACAGTCTATATCAAACCTACCCTCCACAGTCTATATCAAACCTTACCTCCACAGTCTATATCAAACTTAACCTCCACAGTCTATATCAAACCTTACCTCCACAGTCTATATCAAACCTACCCTCCACAGTCTATATCAAACCTAACCTCCACAGTCTAGTCTATATCAAACCTACCTCCACAGTCTATATCAAACCTACCTCCACAGTCTATATCAAACCTCCACAGTCTATATCAAACCTACCCTCCACAGTCTATATCAAACCTTACCTCCACAGTCTATATCAAACCTAACCTCCACAGTCTATATCAAACCTTACCTCCACAGTCTATATCAAACCTACCCTCCACAGTCTATATCAAACTTAACCTCCACAGTCTATATCAAACCTAACCTCCACAGTCTATATCAAACCTACCCTCCACAGTCTATATCAAACCTACCCTCCACAGTCTATATCAAACCTACCCTCCACAGTCTATATCAAACCTAACCTCCACAGTCTATATCAAACCTTACCTCCACAGTCTATATCAAACCTACCCTCCACAGTCTATATCAAACCTACCCTCCACTGTCTATATCAAACCTACCCTCCACAGTCTATATCAAACCTACCCTCCACAGTCTATATCAAACCTACCCTCCACAGTCTATATCAAACCTTACCTCCACAGTCTATATCAAACCTACCCTCCACAGTCTATATCAAACCTACCCTCCACAGTCTATATCAAACCTACCCTCCACAGTCTATATCAAACCTAACCTCCACAGTCTATATCAAACCTTACCTCCACAGTCTATATCAAACCTACCCTCCACAGTCTATATCAAACCTAACCTCCACAGTCTATATCAAACCTTACCTCCACAGTCTATATCAAACCTACCTCCACAGTCTATATCAAACACTCTATATGCAAAACCTCCACAGTCTATATCAAACCTACCTGTTCCCTCCAACAGTAATTCTAAAGTAAATGAAATCTCTATAAACATTCTAATTAATAACATGTAACTACCATAGATAAATCATCTAATTCATTCAAAAAAAAGAACAATTACTAGAAGCCCTAGAGGGTCAGTCAGGGTCAACATGTGCTACCATCAAATTGTCATTTTCTTCATAAACTCTAGTAAACTTTGTCCCCTCCAAAGGGGGAAATCTGTGACTCGAGGGTCATGAAATTCAAAATTTCAAATTCAAATTCAAAAAGAATCTGAAGACCCTTCCATCAATAAAGGGTTTTTGAATTAACCATATCTGGGTGTTGAGAGGAAGATTTTTGAAATAGGAGTCAACTTGATCCCTTGAGACCCATCCTTCAGGCCCTTTAGGGTTCTGGCGGAGGGGGGAGTTTTTGAGAAGTAAAATATGTAAAAAGTTTAAATGTATGATGGACTCACCACAATGACGAATAAAAGGCAATTGAAATATGTCATCATGAGACTGTGTCCTATGTGACTTAATATTCTTATTCAAAACAGACTGTTTGTTTTTAATAACATCCAATGAAGTTTTCAAATTATTACATCCTGATATAGTGACAGCTTGAAGATATATAAGTCACAAAGAGTGCAATGTAAGTTAACGAAATGTCACATGCAACTTTGACTTTACTTTGTAGGTGGCAATATTTTCTCATATTGTAACTAGCTTTGACCTTTGACCTTTCTATTAGTTTCTTACCTAACATACCCTAAGTTGACATAAAGTGCCATACTACTGACCACTGAACAATATGGAGTTGTTTGATTAAACAATTTTATAAAGTGCAAATAACTTCATGCATTAAAGAGTTATAACAGCCTGGTGCTAGGTATAAAAACTAATTGGCAAAATTAATCATTAAGGGAGATAACTATAACATATATCAAACATTTAAAAGACAAGAATTCTTTCTTTTCACATACTATTTGTAGTAATATATATCAACTTTTTACCAGACAATTGACTTTGTTTAGAGTTAAAGCAAAAAAAAAAATCACAAACAACTATAAAACTTAACCTTAACACACAACCTTAAACTTTCAACTTAATGTTTCAAAAGGTTGTGATTTAAAAGATCACAAAAGTTAGTGGTTACCAAGGTAATCACTAATACTATATTAAATCAAAAATTCTGCTTTCAAATCTATATCAAAACAAGACAAGAAATTTCAAATATGCAAAATATTTCCAATGTGATCAAATCTTTAATATGAATTACAGAACAAACCTGACCAACTTTAATCTTGTTTCACCGTTTTTCAGATAATGAACAAAATACTCAACTTTTTTTCACAATTTGTTCATCTAATAATTACAATGGCCATATAACTTAAGAAAAGACACAATCTATCAAAATCTGCTATGAGATAAAACGTGCACAACGTCGCGGTGCAGACAATGAAAACAACAAGGATGTACATTGCTTATTGCACTTTAATATTTATTCCTGCCATTTTACGTGTACAAAGTAAAACACATCCTGATATGGATTTAGAATAGCACTTAATCTTTTTTTTTCCATTAGGAGTTGGAATAAACTGGGAAAAATTGTGAAAATTTGCTGGATATTTCATCCAAGATCTCTAAAACCGAGAAACAAAAGTGGAGATAAGGAAGACCCAGAATATTTCATTACATCAAACACTAGTATTATCAGAACCAATGAAAAAACAATCCCATGAGGTCCCTCTTGCTTTCTGTCTCTAACTTCTACAACAATCCCGTTAGGTCCCTCTTGCTTTCTGTCTCTAACTTCTACAACAATCCCGTTAGGTCCCTCTTGCTTTCTGTCTCTAACTTCTACAACAATCCCGTTAGGTCCCTCTTGCTTTCTGTCTGTAACTTCTACAATAATCCCGTTAGGTCCCTCTTGCTTTCTGTCTCTAACTTCTACAACAATCCCGTTAGGTCCCTCTTGCTTTCTGTCTCTAACTTCTACAACAATCCCGTTAGGTCCCTCTTGCTTTCTGTCTCTAACTTCTACAACAATCCCGTGAGGTCCCTCTTCCTTTCTGTCTCTAACTTCTACAACTATCCTGTTTGGTCCCTCTTCCTTTCTGTCTCTTAACTTCTACAACAATCCAGTTCTCCAAGAATTAGAGCTACAAGAAGGGTACAGATGTTTTTCATAATATTTGTTTGAAATTCAATTATTCCAACTAAAGGAGTAGTTTTATTAGATTCTAGAGAACTTTCCTAGCCTTAAAAAGTCTTGTCCCCCTCCCTGTTTAATGTCTAATTTTCAACTATTTTGTCGATCTACAGAGAGGGCACTTTTAAGATGGAGCTAAAATTTGCTACACATGTATAACACTCCAAGGGGGTGAATCGAGCAGGTGGCAAATTGGTGTATAATGGTAAAAGAGAGAAAATATCTTGGTATAACGTACGGCTCAGAATCTTAATTTGTTATGTTAAGTAGCTTTCAATTTAGTAATTTAGTAAAATTCACAACTCTCATTATTTTTTCACTCTATGCACAAAATCCATACTTTTTATAAAAATAGATTTCTTTATGTGGGTCTTCAATATCCTTTTCAAAGCAGAATATATATTATAAATGTGAACATGTAAGCAACCAATCACAGATAAAAACACAACTGACACGTCAATACATACGCATACACTTGTACTTCCATTGGTTGATAGCTAATAAAAAATGTGAAAACTTTCAAATACTTAATACCCGTCAACACTGTCCCAACTTTGATAAAGTTTGTATATAAAGTCTTTATAATACCAATCAATAACCATTACAACTGGCCATTATCATAGGCTCCCACATATCTAGGCAGCAAATCTTCAGTTTTTTGTTAACAGGGGTTAGTTAATTGGAAACAGAATGTATTAGACTAAAAGAATTTAAGCTGGTTATAAATAATCAGAAGTTCTTATAACACAACCAGTAGAAGATTAGAGTGACATCTCCATGACTACAAGGTCACCTTCATCTTATAACACAACCAGTAGAAGATTAGAGTGACATCTCCATGACTACAAGGTCACCTTCATCTTATAACACAACCAGTAGAAGATTAGAGTGACATCTCCATGACTACAAGGTCACCTTCATCTTATAACACAACCAGTAGAAGATTAGAGTGACATCTCCATGACTACAAGGTCACCTTCATCTTATAACACAACCAGTAGAAGATTAGAGTGACATCTCCATGACTACAAGGTCACCTTCATCTTATAACACAACCAGTAGAAGATTAGAGTGACATCTCCATGACTACAAGGTCATCTTCATCTTATAACACAACCAGCAGAAGATTAGTGACATTTCCATGACTACAAGGTCACCTTCATCTTATAACACAACCAGTAGAAGATTAGAGTGACATCTCCATGACTACAAGGTCATCTTCATCTTATAACACAACTAGTAGAAGATTAGAGTGTGACGTCTCGATGACTACATGGTCACCTTCATCTTATAACACAACCAGTAGAAGATTAGAGTGACATCTCCATGACTACAAGGTCATCTTCATCTTATAACACAACTAGTAGAAGATTAGAGTGTGACGTCTCGATGACTACATGGTCACCTTCATCTTATAACACAACCAGTAGAAGATTAGAGTGACATCTCCATGATTACAAGGTCATCTTCATCTTATAACACAACTAGTAGAAGATTAGAGTGTGACGTCTCGATGACTACATGGTCACCTTCATCTTATAACACAACCAGCAGAAGATTAGAGTGTGACGATGACTACACAGTCACCTTCATCTTATAACACACCCAGTAGAAGATTAGAGTGTGACGATGACTACACAGTCACCTTCATCTTATAACACAACCAGTAGAAGATTAGAGTGTGATGTTTCGATGACTACACGGTCACCTTCCTCTTATAACACAACCAGTAGTAACCTAAGTAGTGTATAAAATGGTAAGAAATCAACCCACTTTTTTGACTGAACTAAACTCCTAGGTACAATAAGGCTGGAAACAGTGTACCAAGATGGGAAACAGATTATAGACCAAAAAATACACAATATGGCAACAATATACTGTAGTCAATTCGGCAGAAACAGTATGTCAATTCTTTAATATCTCATACACTACATACGTCAGTGTTAGTATGCTCCACACTGGTCATTTATCTGATGAAGGTGACCGTGTAGATCTCGCACATTATGTACGTCAGTGATAGTTCGCTCCACACCGGTCATTTGTCTGATGATGGTGACTGTGTAGATCTCGTACACTACGTACGTCAATGTAAGTACGCTCCACACTGGTCATTTGTCTGATGAAGGTGACCGTGTAGATCTCGTACACTACGTACGTCAGTGTAAGTACGCTCCACACTGGTCATTTGTCTGATGAAGGTGACCGTGTAGATCTCATACACAAGTACATCATGAAAGTGACCGTGTAGTCATCGAAACTTCACACCCTAATTTTCTACTGGTTGTGTTATAAGAACTTCTTTTTTATTGAATTACCAACCAGAAGAAAATGTTCCGAAATATGGTTAAATAAAGTTAAAATCAAATAAAGTAAAATTTCGAGAGCCTCTAATTTTGGTCTGTTTTAGCAGATGAATAAAAAACCAATTAGGACATCATTGTTTTGGCAATGTTAAGTTTACTTCGCATGCATTCTAAAATATTTTATACCTTGTTCCCCAAAGGTTAAGTACATTATATGTCAAGCAATTAGACAACAAGGCCAACACTTTACCGCCAAGTCCAAGGGTGGGCTTATTACATGACACTGATGTTTATAATTCTATTGAAACAAATATATTTGGATGGGCTAATTATCAGGCATGAGCTTATTGCCGAATACACCAAGTAATAAAATGATCGTGGAAAATGTTATCTTTTTTGAAACATTAGATCATTCATATGTATACCAGCATTCATTTGGAGAATTTATTTCTGTCCTATTTGAATTCACATGAAAAGGTTATTGCAATATTCAGTTACAAGTTTAGTTAATATACTCACCACTTTTATCACTGGAGCGGTTATAAGAAATATAAACTTCCTCCACTGGCTATTTATGGGGGAGGTTGTTGGAACAGCTACAGCACCTTTCTATGTTATAAAGTATATGGAAGGTTTTTGTAACTGCTAACTTTTTTACATTTTATTTATATCGTCAGAAAGGAGGGAGGTTGTAAGAACAGCTATTACAATACCTTCCTCTACTGATCAGCTTTTAATACAAGGGGAGGTTGTTAGAACAGCTGTAACATCTTCTAATGGCTAGTCCAAGGGAGGTTGTTGGAATATCTATTGCAACACTTCCTCTACTGGCCGGGTTATAATGTATTGGAGGTTGTTAGAACATCTTCTAATGGCTTGTACAGGGGAGGTTGTTGGAACAGATATAACACCTTCTAATGGCTAGTACAAGGGAGGTTGTTAGAACAGCTATAACACTATCTATTGGCACATACAAGGGAGGTTGTTAGAACAGCTATAACACTATCTATTGGCTTGTGAAAGAAGGTTGTTGTAACATCTATTGCACATAGCTATGATACTCCAAGATATCAGTGCATGTAGATTTTTTTTTTTTATTTTTGCAGTGAAGAAAATTGACCAAATCCTGCTCAACAACCAACCCCACATTTTCTATAATGGAGTTAGAAGGAACCATACCCATGTGATTGTAATGCACCTACCAGAACTGTGAAATTCCACAGGAGGCGGTTTCATGACCATATTTGGCAATGACCTGCCCACAATGGGCGGAACCATAACCATATTAGGTAATGACCTACCCATGCTCTCTGTGTGAAAATCTTGCTGTGGTAGCAGGAAACAGGTCAAAACACGTTGTCCAGTTCGCTCATCGAAGTCTGTCTGGAACTTGAGCATTGGCTTGGCTTGATTTTCTGCCAACCAGAGTGCCTTGAGGTTGAGATTAGTAACTGTAATAGGCAGATATTCCAGTCTGTTACCAGACACATCAAGGACATGCAGTTCTTTCAGATTTCCCAGTTCCTGAGGAAGACGGAGAAGTCGATTGTCGCGCATAGAAAACACATTTAGACGCAAGCACCTCCCAATCTGTAAATTGAAAATGAAGCTTTTGGTCAGTTTTGATAAATCTTCAACTAAAGGTCGTATTTACCTTTCTGCAATTTTTATTGGTTTATTTCATTAAAATCTTAATATCTTATATAGTTTCAATGTTGTTAATACATGGAATTCGTATCTCCCTTTTGAGCATGTCCTCAATTATTGTGTACCTTTCTAAAATGTCATCAATTCTTGTGTACCTTTCAATCAGTTCTTGTGTACCTTTCTACAATGTCAAGAATTCTTGTTAGCCTTTCTAGAATGTCGTCAATTCTTGTGTACCTTTAAATCAATTCTTGTGTATCTTTCCACAATGTCATCAATTCTTGTGTAACATTAAATCAATTCTTGTGTACCTTTCTAAAATGTCATCAATTCTTGTGTACCTTTCAACAATGTCAAGAATTCTTGTGTACCTTTCTAAAATGTCATCAATTCTTGTGTACCTTTAAATCTATTCTTGTGTACCTTTCTACAATGTCATCAATTCTTGTGCAAAATTCAATGAATTCTTTGTACCTTCCTAAAATGTCATTGATTCTTGTGTATCTTTCAATCAATTCTTGTGTACTTTTCTAAAATGTCATCAATTCTTGTGTACCTTTCAATGAATTCTTGTGTACCTTTCAACAATGTCAAGAATTCTTGTGTACCTTTCTACAATGTCATCAATTCTTGTGCAAAATTCAATGAATTCTTTGTACCTTCCTAAAATGTCATTGATTCTTGTGTATCTGTCAATCAATTCTTGTGTACCTTTCTAAAATGTCATCAATTCTTGTGTACCTTTCAATGAATTCTTGTGTACCTTTCTACAATGTCATAAATTCTTGTGTACCTTTCAATGAATTCTTGTGTACCTTTCTACAATGTCATAAATTCTTGTGTACCTTTCAATGAATTCTTGTGTACCTTTCTAAAATGTCATCAATTCTTGTGTGCCTTTCAATCAATTCTTTGTTCTTTCCAAATATGTCAACCCATTTGAGAGAAACACTGTTTTGCTCCCCTCTGGCTCATGCACTGTAATAAGTCCAATCTCATACTTGGAGTCAAATATTATGAGATGGTCTCTAACCCTAACCCTTCCCAAATATTGTGAGATGGTCTCCCAAAGCTTGTGCCTTGTAGTAAGTCCACTCTCATACTTGGAGTCAAATATTATGAGATGGTCTCTAACCCTAACCCAAATATTATGAGATGGTCTCCCAAAGCTTGTGCCTTGTAGTAAGTCCACTCTCATACTTGGAGTCAAATATTATGAGATGGTCTCTAACCCTAACCCAAATATTATGAGATGGTCTCCAAAAGCTTGTGCCTTGTAGTAAGTCCACTCTCATACTTGGAGTCAAATATTATGAGATGGTCTCTAACCCTAACCCTAACCCGAATATTATGAGATGGTCTCCAAAAGCTTGTGCCTTGTAGTAAGTCCACTTTCATACTTGGAGTCAAATATTATGAGATGGTCTCTAACCCTAACCCAAATATTATGAGATGGTCTCCCAAAGCTTGTGCCTTGTAGTAAGTCCACTCTCATACTTGGAGTCAAATATTATGAGATGGTCTCTAACCCTAACCCAAATATTATGAGATGGTCTCCCAAAGCTTGTGCCTTGTAGTAAGTCCACTCTCATACTTGGACCCTAACCCAAATATTATGAGATGGTCTCCCAAAGCTTGTGCCTTGTAGTAAGTCCACTCTCATACTTGGAGTCAAATATTATGAGACGGTCTCCCAAAGCTTGTGCCTTGTAGCACGTCCACACTCAGACTTCGAGTTAAATATTATGAGATGGTCTCTAACCCTAACCCTAACCCAAATATTATGAGATGGTCTCCCAAAGCTTGTGCCTTGTAGCACGTCCACTCTCAGACTTGGAGCCAAATATTATGAGATGGTCTCTAACCCTAACCCAAATATTATGAGATGGTCTCTAAAAGCTTGTGCCTTGTAGTAAGTCCACTCTCATACTTGGAGTCAAATATTATGAGATGGTCTCTAACCCTAACCCAAATATTATGAGACGGTCTCCCAAAGCTTGTGCCTCATGGTACGTCCACTCTCAGACTTGGAGTCAAATATTATGAGATAGTCTCTAACCCTAACCCAAATATTATGAGATGGTCTCTAAAAGCTTGTGCCTTGTAGTAAGTCCACTCTCATACTTGGAGTCAAATATTATGAGATGGTCTCTAACCCTAACCCAAATATTATGAGACGGTCTCCAAAAGCTTGTGCCTCATGGTACGTCCACTCTCATACTTGGAGTCAAATATTATGAGATGGTCTCTAACCCTAACCTAAATATTATGAGATGGTCTCCCAAAGCTTGTGCCTTGTAGTAAGTCCACTCTCATACTTGGAGTCAAATATTATGAGATGGTCTCTAACCCTAACCCAAATATTATGAGATGGTCTCTAAAAGCTTGTGCCTTGTAGTAAGTCCACTCTCATACTTGGAGTCAAATATTATGAGATGGTCTCTAACCCTAACCCAAATATTATGAGACGGTCTCCAAAAGCTTGTGCCTCATGGTACGTCCACTCTCAGACTTGGAGTCAAATATTATGAGATGGTCTCTAACCCTAACCCAAATATTATGAGATGGTCTCCCAAAGCTTGTGCCTTGTAGTATGTCCACTCTCAGACTTGGAGTCAAATATTATCAGATAGTCTCTAACCCTAACCGTAACCCAAATATTATGAGATGGTCTCCAAAAGCTTGTGCCTTGTAGTATGTCCACTCTCAGACTTGGAGTCAAATATTATCAGATAGTCTCTAACCCTAACCCTAACCCAAATATTATGAGATGGTCTCCCAAAGCTTGTGCCTTGTAGTATGTCCACTCTCAGACTTATACTTACCTCAACAGGGATTTCCGTCAACTTGTTTCGGTCTACATTGAAATTGGACAGGTTCTTTAAACGACCTATAGTTACTGGTAGTTCCTACAGAATAAAAACATTCCTTTAAATAAATAATTTCAAATAGGAATCCGACGTACAAGTGTTTTCAACAAATAAAGTCCAATGAAGTGGACGGCCCATTTTTTTTTTTTGTGACAATCAACAGTGTAAGAGATGCATATATAAAAAATGTTTTTTCCTCCCTAGAAGAACATAATGCTATTTAAACTGTGTTTCTAATAAAGATGAAACATTCAAATCTCTGTCTAACACCAAAGTTGAACTTTGTATCCAAAAATTTGTTATGATTTCTGGACGACTGCACTGGTTAGCAGGGAATTTGTTTTGTTTTTGTTTTTTTTTTGTGCAAAATACAATTAAATCTCATGTAGACTTAAGTTTTATTTTTATAACATGTCTGATGTATTTGTTCTTATTCAAAGTTTGCAACAAAGTCATAATCAAATTATCTTTCTGACATATATATCCTAAAAGGTTTCATACTTACGTTTAACAGGTTTTCAGTGAGAATCATTTCCTGTAACATCTCACAGCTGTAAATTAGATTTAAATTTTTAATGATAAATAAATAACAAAATTCTGTTTATAAAATAAAGAAATGTAGCTTTGGTAAAGTGGAAAGGCGGTATTTTCATATTAGATTTGGTTCCAGTTGCACTTTTAATTTTATTATAGTGTTGGAGATAAAAGCCAAACCTAAGCTGTCAAATGAACAGATCTGGAGCAGATAAAGGATTTATCTGGGATAAATTATGAAAAATGGTTAAAAAAAATTCCTGTCCATTACCAATACTTTACAGCTTGTTTATGATAAACTTTCTTTTCCTAATATACACACATCCCAGCTAACCTACTGATCCATATAAAGACGAGGAGAAGTACCACTTACTTTCCTATCTGTGGAGTAAGCACCAACAGACGATTCTGATCAGCCTTCAGGATGGACAGTTTCTTCAGGCTCCCTAACAACACACATGTAATGAAGAGTACAATAGCCATGGATAAACCTACGGTTGACTTGCTAATTGATTCTAGTTGAAAATTAAACAGACACAACCAACAATTTGCAACTGAACTTAAGGAAATTCCTTTCAGCTGTGATGGTAACAACCCACTGTTCACTACTGTATTCAAAAGCATATCTGAACTATGTTAAACTTCAATAATGCCAAAAATACATCTTAACAAGAAGATTTATCCTGATCACGTGTTGCCTTTTCTTCAATATTTCTTTAAATCAAAAATAATTACTGAAATACATGGTAACACATAAATGCTGGAGTAAACAAGATGTCACTGCAGCCATCTTGAATTTCAAATCTTAAAAGGTTAGTAGATTTATATATATATATAATTTAAAACTGTAAACCAAACTGTACCATGAAGTGTACCCCGACAATGATGACTCAGAGAGAAGTGTACCCTGACAATGATGACTCAGAGAGAAGTGTACCCTGACAATGATGACTCAGAATGAAATGTACCCTGACAATGATAACTCAGAGAAAAGTGTACCCTGACAATGATGACTTATAATGAAATGTACCCTTGACAATGATGACTTATAATGAAATGTACCCTGACAATGATGACTTATAATGAAATGTACCCTGACAATGATGACTTATAATGAAATGTACCCTGACAATGATGACTCATAATGAAGTGTACCCTGACAATGATGACTCAGAATGAAGTGTACCCTGACAATGATGACTTATAATGAAATGTACCCTGACAATGATGACTCAGAATGAAGTGTACCCTGACAATGATGACTCATAATGAAGTGTACCCTGACAATGCTGACTCAGAGAGAAGTGTACCCTGACAATGATGACTCAGAGAGAAGTGTACCCTGACAATGATGACTCAGAATGAAGTGTACCCTGACAATGATGACTCAGAATGAAGTGTACCCTGACAATAATGACTCAGAATGAAGTGTACCCTGATAATGATGACTTATAATGAAATGTACCCTGACAATGATGACTCAGAGAGAAATGTACCCTGACAATGATGACTTATAATGAAATGTACCCTGACAATGATGACTCAGAATGAAGTGTACCCTGACAATGATGACTTATAATGAAATGACCCTGACAATGATGACTCAGAGAGAAGTGTATCCTGACAATGATGACTCAAAGAGAAGTGTACCCTGACAATGATGACTCAGAATGAAGTGTACCCTGACAATGATGACTCAGAATGAAGTGTACCCTGACAATAATGACTCAGAATGAAGTGTACCCTGATAATGATGACTCCGAATGAAATAACTATTAGGTTACCTATGCCTTCTGGAAGTGATTCTAGATTGTTCTGCGACAGTGCCAGGTCAGTAAGGTTACAAAGGCCATCAATCTCTTCAGGTAGGTAGTCGAGCTGATTTTCTGAGACATCAATCTGAGTCAGCTTTTTCAGGTTCCCAATTTCCTACAAAAAATTAAAATTGAAAATATTAGTTCACACTTATCACTATATGATTCTTTCATCTCAAAACTGCAGAATTATTGAAAGTTAGATATAAGGATACCAATATGTTATCACAGATATCCTGATCCCTTCAACAATCATCACGTGTCACACGTCCCCCAAACAATCATCAAGTGTCACACATCCCCCAGACAATCACATGTTACACGCCCACCAAACAATCATCAGGTGTCACACGTCCCCAAACAATCACGTGTCACGTGTCCCCCAAACAATCATGTGTCACGCGTCCCCCAAACAATCACGTGTCACACTTCCCCAAACAATCATGCGTCACGCGTCCCCCAAACAATCATCACGTGTCACACGTCCCCCAACAATCATGCGTCCCCCAAACAATCATCATGTGTCACACGTCCCCCAAACAATCATCACGTGTCACACATCCCCCAAACAATCATGTTACACGTCCCCCAAACAATCACGTGTCACGCGTCCCCAAACAATCATGTGTCACACATCCCCTAAACAATCATCACGTGTCACACGTCCCCCAAACAATCATCAAGTGTCACACATCCCCCAGACAATCACATGTTACACGCCCACCAAACAATCATCACGTGTCACGTGTCCCCCAAACAATCATGTGTCACGTGTCCCCCAAACAATCACGTGTCACACTTCCCCAAACAATCATGCGTCACGCGTCCCCCAAACAATCATCACGTGTCACACGTCCCCCAACAATCATGCGTCCCCCAAACAATCATCATGTGTCACACGTCCCCCAAACAATCATCACGTGTCACACGTCCCCCAAACAATCATGTTACACGTCCCCCAAACAATCACGTGTCACGCGTCCCCAAACAATCATGTGTCACACATCCCCTAAACAATCATCACGTGTCACACGTCCCCCAAACAATCATGCGTCACACGTCCCCCAAACAATCACATGTTACACGTCCCCAAAACAATCATCACGTGTCACATGTCCCCCAAACAATTATCACGTGTTACACGTCCCCCAAACAATCACATGTTACACATCCCCCAAACAATCATCACGTGTCACATGTCCCCCAAACAATCATCACGTGTCACATGTCCCCCAAACAATCACATGTTACACGCCCCACAAACAATCATCACGTGTCACACGTCCCCCAAACAATCATCACGTGTCACACGTCCCCCAAACAATCATGCGTCATGCATCTCCCAAACAATCATCACGTGTCACGTCCCCCAAACAATCACATGTTACACGCCCCACAAACAATCATCACATGTCACACGTCCCCCAAACAATCATCATGTGTCACACGTCCCCCAAACAATCACATGTTACACGTCCCCTAAACAATCATCACGTGTCACACGTCCCCCAAACAATCACGTTACACGCCCACCAAACAATCACGTGTTACACGTCCCCCAAACAATCACATGTTACACGGCCCCCAAACAATCACGTGTTACACGGCCCCCAAACAATCACGTGTTACACGTCCCCCAAACAATCACATGTTACACGTCCCCCAAACAATCACGTGTTACACGGCCCCCAAACAATCACGTGTTACACGGCCCCCAAACAATCACATGTTACACGGCCCCCAAACAATCATCTGTCACATGTCCCCTCCAAACAATCATATGTGACGGTGAGCTAGAACACCCTGTACCACCACCAAACCCTGTAGTGATGGTGAACCTCTGTACAGAGACTTGACACTGAGCTAGAACACCCTGTACCACCACCAAACCCTGTAGTGATGGTGAACCTCTGTACAGAGACTTGACACTGGGCTAGAACACCCTGTACCACCACCAAACCCTGTAGTGATACTTGACACTGAGCTAGAACACCCTGTACCACCACCAAACCCTGTAATGATGGTGAACCTCTGTACAGAGACTTGACACTGAGCTAGAACACCCTGTACCACCACCAAACCCTGTAGTGATAGTGAACCCCTGTAGAGAGACTTGACACTGAGCTAGAACACCCTGTACCACCACCAAACCCTGTAGTGATGGTGAGCCCCTGTAGAGAAACTTGACACTGACTGTGTGCATCACCATTTAGCTTCACAATCAACGTCAGGTCTATTGATTAGGAGGGGGCTTCCGGCACAGAAGCCACAAAAATTAGTTACACTTCTTACAGGCAACACAACAGCCATCTCATTATCATGTTTCTTTATATTACGAGATTGTGTATAATCATTTTTAATCATCAGTCTGGCAGAATTCCTTGGAAGTTCTACTGAAATGCTTAGTTTTATAAAAGAATGCTCAGCTTGACTTTTTATTTGTTTTGATCTTATTTTCGGTTTCAACAAAAGATATGATCTATTAATTAAAGTCTCTAAATGGCTTGAAAAAAATAAAAATCTAAACTTCACCATAAAAAATCCTTAACATCCTCAACATTCTGAGTTAATACAATCAAACTGATCATAGCAGTTATTGAAAAAATACATTGTACCATTCTCTACTCTAGTAATATTGAGTATTTATCAGTTCTTTTTATGTTTAGGAAACTTCTCATACTGAATTTTCACATTCACATCAATTTTATTTATTCTTTCATATCAAAAAAATAAAGCTTGGATGTTCCTTATCACTTATATCCTTTCCTTCATCAAAATTATGTGTCTGTAAATCGAACCATTATACAGAAAAAGCTTTTAAACTCACATTGACTTAGAAATATCAGACATAAAGTATATCTACCCAACACAAATTTCCATCCTAGAGTTACAACATCACTCTTCTTTTTAAATCTCATGACATATTTTGATTACATGTTAAGATATATTTCTAGAAATGCAAGCATCATTTAACACTAAAATATTCCTTCTGATTGATAGTGAAGAAACCACTATGAAAATCATCACTAGCACCATACAATTAGATGTCTTCTAAGTACCAGGTGATGCCACTGTGCATTTCTCATTTAGTCAAACTCAGCCATTTTAGTGGCTTCATACGGTACCAAAGCAGACTGCCATAGTGTTTAAAGCGTGGTAGTAAAACACACGTTAAAGCCTTACTGCGCTTCATTTTAGCCATTTAATAGGAAGACATAGAAGTGTTTAAGGCGTCAAACCAATGCTTCATATTTCCAGCTGCCTCCTAGTGGTCGATAAATGATTTGGGTTAACGTTAGCGAAAATATTTCATCAGTCAATCCAAGACTCCAACAACTTGTTTACCGATGTTGCACTCAAGGATGATACCTTTATTTTTTGTATTCAATGATGCATGGAGAATTTCCGTAAAAGGGACAAACCATTTCTAGTCTACAGTCAATTACTCCCTTGAGATGGTATCTTGACTTGATAAACATATTTCTCCTTCAACATACTACATAAATTACTAATTTTCTATTTCTCAAAACAGTAAGACATGACCGCTTTCTGTAAAAGAAAATTTCACTTAAAGGACATAGAACTGTGAGGTGTTTTTTGGGGAAGGGGTTTATTTTTTTATAGTTTTAAATTTCCAATTTATACATCAATCATCAAGCAGTTTTAGATTTTCTCTATAAATTCTATTCAGGTGTGACTTCTTCTCAATTGCATACTATTTCTGAAAAATTAACAGATCCTCACAAAAATGACAGCATTTGCTGATCAGAGCCCCAACGGCTAAAAAAGTTATTGATTCAGTTATAAGTCCATGTCTGGTAAGGATAATCTCATTCACATCAATGAAGTACAGTAACCAGTTACAGAAGCCCAATCCCTGACTTCCTCAATTAATGAGTTGGTCACATAGGCTTATTGTCATGTAATAGCCCCATCCTCTTAACTTTACGTCAGAGTTAATGTGTTGGTCCATGGGCTTAACTGTTAGCACTTAACAGAGTTAATGTGTTGGTCCCTGGGCTTATTGTAATGTAATAATCCCATCCTCTTAACTTTGCATCAGAGTTAATGTGTTGGTCCATGGGCTTATTGTCATGTAATAGCCCCATCCTCTTAACTTTACGTCAGAGTTAATGTGTTGGTCCCTGGGCTTATTGTCATGTAATAGCCCCATCCACTTAACTTTGCGTCAGAGTTAATGTGTTGGTCCCTGGGCTTATTGTCATGTAATAGCCCCATCCTCTTAACTTTGCGTGAGAGTTAATGTGTTGGTCCCTGGGCTTATTGTCATGTAATAGCACCATCCTCTTAACTTTGCGTGAGAGTTAATGTGTTGGTCCCTGGGCTTATTGTCATGTAATAGCCCCATCCACTTAACTTTGCGTCAGAGTTAATGTGTTGGTCCCTGGGCTTATTGTCATGTAATAGCACCATCCTCTTAACTTTGAGTGAGAGTTAATGTGTTGGTCCCTGGGCTTATTGTCATGTAATAGCCCCATCCTCTTAACTTTGCGTGAGAGTTAATGTGTTGGTCCCTGGGCTTATTGTCATGTAATAGCCCCATCCACTTAACTTTGCGTGAGAGTTAATGTATTGGTCCCTGGGCTTATTGTCATGTAATAGCCCCATCCACTTAACTTTGCGTGAGAGTTAATGTGTTGGTCCCTGGGCTTATTGTAATGTAATAGCCCCATCCACTTAACTTTGCGTCAGAGTTAATGTGTTGGTCCCTGGGCTTATTGTCATGTAATAGCCCCATCCACTTAACTTTGCGTCAGAGTTAATGTGTTGGTCCCTGGGCTTATTGTCATGTAATAATCCCATTCTCTTAACTTTGCGTGAGAGTTAATGTGTTGGTCCCTGGGCTTATTGTCATGTAATAATCCCATCCACTTAACTTTGCGTGAGAGTTAATGTGTTGGTCCCTGGGCTTATTGTCATGTAATAATCCCATCCTCTTAACTTTGCGTGAGAGTTAATGTGTTGGTCCCTGGGCTTATTGTCATGTAATAAACCAATCCCAACTTTTAGTCAGACTTAATGTCTTGTCTGCCCAGGATTATCATGCAGTAACAGGGTTTTCCATAAGAGCCGGTCGCCGGCCAATTTGACCAG